CGGCTCTTTTCCCTCATTAATCCAATGTTGTTAGCTCACCAGAGTCATTGCAGTCGGTCTGGAGAGGACTTGGGGTCACTCTGGACTCTTGCTGCAGGTTTTAGTTTACCGATTGAAGCATAGAGTGTTGAACTTGACCTTAACTCGCTGTAAGAGAAAGCGGCTGAACGACATATTCCAGGTCCACAGTATGTCTAGTGTTTCCTTGTTGCTCTGCAAGAGGGCCCTGGCCTGGTATGTGGTAGCTCGCTGTGAACTGAAGCCTCTCGTGTAATCATAGTTCTCTCTGTAATGCTGGTTAGATCTGAGCAATCTATTTCTATTTACAGATTCCTTATAACCTCTTTTTTAAGCGGCTATAAAAAATGTAGTCTTCTGCACAGTTAAGTTTTGTATTTCTCAGAGTCGCTCTTTTATTTCACCCTCGTCATCTGTGGGAAAGGGAACTGAAGCCGTAGTTTGTGCCTCTTGTGTGATCATAGTTTACATAGACATCTTTGTGAGGCCGGTTTGAATTCAAGATATAGTCATTTCCAGACTTCATATATACGCTTCTATAAAAGTCTTAAAATCTTCAGTCATCTGCAACTTTTTCTAGATCTCTCCGGAGTGTTTTACGATCTTCATCTTTGCAAAAGTCTCAAATGCAAACATGAGGCACAGACTTCAGCTATTTGAACATGGCTCTATTTGCCCAGTTTTTCCTCTCCTTGACCTCTTTGTCGACTAAACTAGATTGGGCTAGCTTTGAGCTTTTGTCACTGTCGGACTCATCGAAGCTTTTTCTTCATCGTGGAGGGTGAGAAGTAAAAGGTCATTATCTGATTTCAGGAATCCATTAGGCGCGTTCACACCGCAGTACTTTTCCCACTTTAGTTCCGATATAATTCTTAAATGTCGCGTTCACACCAAAAAGAGCCGGAACTAAAATTAGTTAATGGGAACCTTTTTACCCCTTTTTCCGTCCCTGCTAGAGAGCAGGGACTTTCGTGGGAGAAAAAGGTTCCTATGTCTGATTGGCTGGGCGGATTGCAAACCACGCCCCGTAAAACTCCCAAAAAGTTTTGTGAAGCCGCCATTTTATTATCCTCGCATTAGCATTATTAGCATTAGCATTCGCCCAGCGCACAAACGCAGAGAGACTGACTTATGGCAACACAAAAGAAAACATGGGAGCGGTGGAGATGAGGAGGTGTCGGTGTTCTGGCGATTTACTCGGAAAGCTTCAGTCGAAGCTGCTGGGAGTCCCAGCAGCTTCGACTGAAGCCAGTCCCCAACTCCGGGGACTTCGGGTGGCAGTATACGCCGTGAAGTTGTTTGCGGCCTGCCAGTAAACCCAAAGCAGAAGAAGAAGACGTGACGTCAGCGGCTTCATTTGCCTAATCCTCCCCCAGGGACTTATTCCGGTGTGAACGCGATCTGTACTGAGTTCATGAGAACTAAAGAGTTCTCATGAACTCAGTTCTGATGAACCTTTGTGGGAAAAGTACTGCGGTGTGAAAGCGCCTAATGACTCGTCTGTCCATCCCTTTTTCTATTTTAAAGGAATATGATGTTGGTGTGAAATGCTGGCACTCTGCTTTATTAAACCTAAATTATATGAAAACCATGTTTCTACCATTACATTGCATTTAGCTGACGCTTTTATCCAAAGCGACTTACAATAAGTGCATTCGACCAAGAAGATACAAACTTGAAGAAAACAGAATCATATAAGTACATCAGGTTTCATAGAGCCAAAACATTTCAAGTGCTACTCAACAGGCTTTAGATAAGCCAGTCCTTTGTTAGTAGATAAGTGCTTTGTTAGTAATTTTATTGCTCGAAGTGAAGTCGCTTCAGTCTGAGCCAGAAGATGTGTAAGCTTTCTGCTGTCCTGATGTCAATGGGGAGCTCATTCCACCATTTTGGAGCCAGGATTGCAAACCCACGTGTTTTTGCTGATGGGAACTTGGGTCCCCCTCGCAGCAGACACACAAGTAGAACTGAAGTTTAGTGAAATGACTGACTACATTATGGCAGCAGAAAGTGTATTTTATCGTCATCAAACATTCAGGGAGTCATTTTAAACAATATCAGTACAAAAAAGACACTTTAAAGTTGAACTATCATTCTTTTAATGGTGCCTTTTGTGTTTTATGTCAACTAAACCTAGCTTTAAGCTTCTGCCACCATTTTGATTGCATTGATTATGTTTTCTTTGGAGGTTTAAATGGGACCGTCTTCATTTGTTTCCCAATCCAATGTTTCCTTTGTTGAAAGAGATAAAACATCATTCAGGCTTAGTAGAGGGTCCATTCCTTAATAATCCATTACCGGGGAATAGCTGCAGGTTATGCATGATGTCAGGACCCTCTCACTTTGTGACTCGACTGCTTATCAGCCACTTCTGTCACCTAAGGGTGGACTTTGGTCCCTTTCCATTGGTCCCTGCTGATGCTATAACACGATCAATGTCTACGTCACACACAATGTAAAACTCCTGAAAAACATTCTCACTGAAGAGACTTCCAATTATTTGCCCTAGACTTCTGCTTTCAGACGTAGTTAATTATGAAGTTATTACCCTATCTGATAATAATCCAATGCAGAGGCAATCATGTAATATAATACATTATTTTATATATATTACATATTTATATATGTATTTTTATATAGTCTTAAAGTTACAACCGGCCCTTTGAGTGCAGCCATAATGCTGACGTGGCCTGCCATGAAATTGAGTTTGACACGGCTGGTTTAGGCCTTAAACATCATCACACACATCACCTGCAGCCTCCCATGGTGCAGTTAACTCCACACTGACGATGTACAGGGTCTTTTGTGAGGTTGAACACGTGATCAGATCTCGCCTAAGATTGGTTGTGATTATCTCCATCGTAAAAAGAGGAGGTGCTGATCGACGTAAAACCTGCATTTTACAGTCCTGAGCTGTGTCCTTTAGGTTCGACTCCCTTCTTACAAAAGGCTTTTTAAGGACTTGTCCTGCTGTAACTAATGGTGCAAAAGTAATGGTGTTTGACCACCCTGATGTTTGCTCTCCTTCCTCCCAGGATAACTGAACGCTAGTTGTCGGAGAACCTGTTCCTGACTAGTTTTGCAGACAGTCAGGATTTTTACTGTAGAGTTGCCGGTGATTGGCAGAGAGGACATGATGGATCTTCTTCAGACCATTTTAGTTTAGGTTAACAGTGGTCAGCACACTTTAGGTGGCTCTGATGATGAAGCTAAGTCGGCCTCCTTCTATATGCCAAAGATCCCTCCAGAACAATTTAATAAAATGATCATTGTGGGCTTTTTGAGAGAATCTGTGCCAGACACGTTTGTTGTGTTAAGTCGATTTGTAGCTCGGGATGGATCGGCAGCACATACGTAGCCTTTAACAAATATTGTGCATCCTGAAATTAAATATTGCGATTTAGATTAATTCTGCGACCCGAGTGTACTTGTATCGGTTTTCCTCCTGTTAAACCATTTTAATAGTGGCTGCCTTTTTGGTTTTATGATCTGTGAAGCCAATTGTTAGCATTTTCTTTTAAGTTCAACTAAGGTTTGGGATATTTTTTTTTGTCACAGCAGCATGTTAAAAGACTTAAAACGTGACAATAGACGCATAAAACAAATAGAATAAGTGCAGAGCAAGCACGAGGGTTTCTATATCTGTGACTTGATGCCTTTTTCTAAATATTCTGTCACCGATTCAGAATGAAACTTCACACACTATGCTTCGTGGAATAAACCATGAGATCAAATCAGTTTTAAAACCATTCAACATGTACTTTCAACACGGATAAGAACTCCTAAAACACGTCCACTGTCAGTTATAAGCTCCATAAAGACTCTTACCATTCAATAAAAGTGAGACTATAGTTTGTTTGAGATCATCTGTAAACAGTAAGAACATATTTCAGATAACATATCCGCCATTGTCACAGAGTCTTCCACCATTTCTGGTTACGGTCAAAAGTCCTAAAATGCATCCTTTGTCAGTTATAAGTGTAAGAGTGTTGTTTGTACCACTTGACATAATCTATAAACAGTTAGAAATGATTTCTGATAACATATCGGCCATTCTTGCCCTTACAGAGTTAGCTGCAACCCTTTCCCCCACTCTTATCCCTTTTTTAACAAGCTGGTTACGGTCAAAAGTCTCTGCAAAATTGCCCCCTTTTCTGCTCTGTGTGTCAGAGGAAAAAGACCCATGGGAAGGAGGAGGGGGGGGGGGGGGGTGGTGAAGGACATGTCAGCACATAGCTCAGCTCCACGTGGCCACCATCTCCTCCCCCTTTTGAGCCGGAAGGGCTAACCAACCCTCCCCTTCCTCTCAAAAAGGGGTGAGCTTGAAAAAAAAAAAAATGATATATCCGAGGAAGCGCCCTGCAGGATGACAGGGCAAAGAATGAGGAAAAGGGGGAGTTTCTTCGGCTAGCTGCTGCTCATTTGATGATTTTCTTTCTCCCCCCCCCCTCCTCCTCTGCCTTTGCACCTCGTTCACTCCCCGGCCCCTTTAACTGTCTGTTAGCCTCTGTGGGAGGGGCAGCACATTCCAGTGCCATAGCTTTACAAGGCCACTCGCGTTATCCTATTTTATTTTTTTTCTTTCCTCCCCGATTCTGCTTGGACAGTTATTCAAGTAGCGAGCGAGTGAGCTAGCAGGCGTACTGACAGTCAGGCCCCGGCTAAGTGTAGATGTGTGAGCTATGCTGAGTTAAAGTTACAAAACTTGTGGAGCTGCTTTGTGGAGTTTAAAGTCCAGCGGCTGGATCACTCAGCCCACAGCCCCAGGATGAGAGAGGCCTGTTAAGGTTAGTAATGCTTCCGAAATGGAGAAGGGGGGTGTAGATTTGAAAGGTCAGTGACGACGAGCAAATATTTCTTAAAGTCCAACTGTAGGCCTGTAAACTTTTCCATTTGAATAATTGTCCGGTGTGTGTGTGTGTGTGTGTGGCGGTGGCTCATAGCATGACAGCTCTTTAAGTATGTGGAGTGAGAGTGAGAGGAAAAAGGAGAGCATGTGTTTGTAATGTAATGGCACTCCTTGGTAATTGATTAGATCTGTCTGTCTGTGTGTGTGTCTCTCTCTCTGTCTGTGTGTGTGTCTCTGTGTGTCTGCTTTTTAAAAAAAAAAGTAAATCCAAACACAAGTCTTTGGTGACAATCAGACGGATGCACATTGTGTGCAGCCGAGGAATTTGCATAGCGTGTACAGTTTGGATTTTCTTTTCTGCGTGCCTCAGTGTTCACAATGTGAGATATTTAGCTTTCATTGAATCAGGCAGCGGCCAGTCACCAAAAAAGGCTGACCATGTAAGCGTTGCATCATGGGAACGCTACTCTTACATGTTGCTGTCCTCAGGCTGAACGGTTGAACCCTTTCACTCGCATTCACATTCATTCATTCTACTTTTTTTACTTGGATTATATTGAATTTCACCTCGAATCCGGTTGCTCTTATTCCCTTTATGTGTATATTGGTTGCTTCACATGACTGTATTTTAAGTGTTACCATGCAGATATTATTACATTTAAGATCTAATTGTTGCATTGCCAGGTTATTCTGTATTGTATTGAATAGAAAATGTGTATTATGGCATTCTCTTACATGCTTCTGTCGTCTCCCTGACACATTTTAACTTCCTAACTCTCACACACGGATTCACTTCTTCTATTCTGTACCACCTGTAACCATACGTGTCGTCTCCTTTTCCTCCACAGATCAGAATAAGAGACCCTAACCAAGGAGGTCGGGATATTACAGATGAGATTATGTCCGGGGGTCGCAGCGGCTCGACCCCAACCCCACCACAGGTGAGCTTCAATAAGTGCCAACACAGCAGAAACACTAGCACACTGCTTCAGTTTCACCTTTTATTTTTAGACGCATGTATAAAAAAGATTCAGGCAAATTGTAAAATGTACATTTAGTGAAATGACTCACTAACTGTCATGTGTATCTTGTGCTTTTTACTTAAGCTAGGGGATGCAACACGTGTCCATTTGGAAGGTTTTAATAGCCTAATTAGATAAAATATAATTGTCATCTTATTTAAATGTGTTTAATACAATTGTTTTATAAATAATTACCTTATTTTTGTTAATTCAACAACCAATTTGTTGAATTTAGGCAATATACTAAAAGCATATACTTTAATATCTGCTGCTACTTTGCTCCTGTACTTTTGACACCAATGATATGTAAATTAAGAAATAGGAGTTTAGGTTAAAGACTGACCACAAATCATACTTTTCTTATATATTCTACTGTATATAAATATGGGTTACACAATATGTTATTTATCATCACCTCAATGGTGAATTGTAACTCAGAGATGACTTAGGTTAAATAATATAAGTAGAAAAAGTCCCTTAAAGCGTTCCTATCATCCTTGTAATAAATGGTGCCTTGTCTCTTCAATGTTCAATAGTTCCGTATGTTTTTGTATTTTAGATGTTCTCTTAAGTCATATCTATACCATGATTCCCAAACAGAGCTCACCTCTAACAAGAGATTCAGGCAAATTGTACAATTAAATCCAAGTGTTATGACTCGTATGCTTCTTTGACTTTCCATTAGGGCTGCACGATATTGGAAAAAACTGACATGGCGATATATTTTGCGATATGAAAAAATACAGGAATTGAAGAAATTACATTTTTTTTTGTCTGCAAACCATCCTTTCTTGAACTTTAATGCTAAACAATTGGTATTCTTTTTAACTATATTTAACCGGATGAAGGATTTTAGTCACGGACGTCTGGATCTTAAGTTATCAGAGCAACAAGCTGAGCTAGCTCGGTTAGCAGCGCCGAACTGCCCTGGAGAAACACATGAAACTACTTTATTCAGTGTTTTTACCCTTTAATCACCGGGTCCGTTTGCTTTGGAGATTTGATTGTGATTGGTGGATTGCTGTCACTCACTCAAGTACCCCTGACATGAGAGCCGCGCCAGTTTTCCTTTTTGTAGCAAGCAGCAAAAGAATTGTAACATGACGTGTTTGAGTTAATTTGCCTACTTAATATCGCACGTCCTAACGAAATGTAAATGTGACTATCGCGATTATCGTCACGACACGATATATCGTGCAGCCCTACTTTCCATATGTAAATTAGGGTTTGTAAAATATCATTATGTTTGTCACAATGTCAACCTCAAGGACTGTGAATTTAGAAAATGGCACTTTTTAATGTTACTATCATTCTTTATTTTATTTGTTATATTTTAACAGGATTTTGAAAGCAGCAGAACTGATTTCATTTTAATATCTTTTTGATTATCAATGTAATAACTTCTATTATGAAACTACATTTAAGTGAAATGACTAACTCACTGTCATGTTGCTTTTACTTTTTAAACTTGCATGACAACCACAAAAGACTGTGATAGCGCTCAGGTACTTTGTTAGTTTATCTGTAGAGGATTAGTAGAAATCGACACAGAAACATGTAGTTTTATTTCGTCCATTAAGTCGTTTTTTAGCACTATATTGAAAGAAGACGCCTACAACACCAACACTTGTGTCTTTTAATTATCCAAAGTGACACCGTTACTGCAATATTCAAATGTTATATACACATATATATATATATATATAACACAAAACGTTCGTCCTGTGTAAACGTCAGCTTAAGTCTATTGTAGCACTTGTATATACAACAGGAATGGACTTGCCTGCGCTCCATATGTTATGGCTTTACTGGGAATGCTGCAGATTTCCATTCCTCAAACACATGTAACACTACGACCTGTCAAAAATCACGCTGATATACGAGTCATTCTAACATGTGGTACATAGATCCAGCAACGTGAATTACTTGCTCCTTCTCAGGGTGTCCGCGGGGTCTTAACAAGTATTAAAAGTTGATAAATTAATTTAGCGAAAATTAAGGCTATTAAAAAGTATTAAACGGCATTTTCCAAGGTATTACATTTTGCAGCTTGTTTTCAATAAGTATATGAATTGTCCAAAGAGGTTGTATTCTACAGTCTGCCTGAATGTAATCATTGCGTAGGTGTGCAGTGTGATTCTGTGTAGTTTATTGATGGCATCCCGTTGGGTTTGACGTCATCTGAACAGGACATCGCACGCTCACTGCTTGATAGCGCGCGGAGGTCCGTTTACGCCGGTTGCTAAGCAACATCGTTATGGGGAAATGCAAGTTTGCGTCCAAATGGTTGGAAGATAAGGAGGAAGGACAATCAATACTGTATATAGTCAATGTGAGGTAAAGTGTGTCGCCAAGGTAACCGGTTAAAACTCCAAGTGGCGATGAGGTCCTAAAATGTATGGAAAGGGTCTTAAAAAAGGTCTTAAAAGGTATTACATTTGACTTCAGGATTCCTGGATATACCCTGTTATATAACTTGATAATTTAAAGGATAATTGGACGGTTAAAAACAGTTTTTCAGAGGAGGCGCCGTGGGAAATGTAGTCTTTTATACTCTCGTTGACTACAGACGTCACGATTAGGTGGCCTTTCTTATAAAAACAACGTACTGGCTCTAACAGTTAGTTTTGTGTTCACTGATGATGTAATTCTTACTTTCTTTCTGGTGTGTTTTGTGTCTCCTTCAGTTATCAGACAGTCCGACGGTTCAGGCAAACGGTGAGAGCGTCACATCTGCTGCAGCGCTGGTTAGACCTGGTGAGTTCACACAGGACTTTTTACAAGTACAATTTCACAATTATTGTTTGAATATTGCTGATATAACAAGATCTGACTAGGCTGCAACTGACAAATGCTTTCTCAAGTCATTATTTGGTCTATAAAATTGTGGAAAAGAGTCATATCTTTGGTATTTGGACTGACAAAACCAGCCATTTAAATACTTCTCCTTAGACTCTGTGAAACTGGGATGGACATGTATTACTATTTTTCCATATTTATACATCAAATGATTAAACAAGAACATAATCAGCAGATTAACTTTTGTTAAAAAACATTAAGTTTCAGCCAAAATCTGAATATTTAGGTGATTTTGAAAAAGTCAGAATTTTTAGGTGATTTTGAGAAAAAGTCAGAATTTTGAGATTTTCAGAAAAAAGCCAATATTTTGAGAAAAACTTAGTATTTTGTTCATGACTGGATGTATGATTACCTTCAAGAACTGGTATTCCTCCATCTTGTGACTGTATCACCCTCATGTATATCAGCATGTGAATGACACTGTTCAGGAACTAGTTGAACCAAATGCTCTGTATGTGAAGACTACTTCCACTCTTGAGGATCATAAATACATGTAATAAATAAATAATAAAACATCATATTTTTAGGCGCCTTTCAAGGCACCCAATGTCACCTTACAAGGAATCAAAGAAATACTCTAACAGTACAAATAACAAAACATAAAATAGATACAGGGCAGACGGACCAAATTGACAATACATTTAAAAGTGTTTGGTGTATTGAAAGTCTCTGGGTTGCATGAGGCATCCCGATATTGAAGCTCAAGCCGGTGACGAGTGATACTTTTCTATCATCTTGACATCTTTTTTTCCTGTCCCCTCCAGATGACAGAGGGAGACCTACGCCCCCTCCTCCGTCAAAAACCCCTGAACTTGCTAAAAGCGAACCCCTCCTCACAGAATCTGCCTCCTCTGACACGAACACTACTCCCTCTGAACCCCCTCAAGATCTCCCTCTCGAAACTCTCCCTCTTCCCACTCCTGCACCAACTACCCCTGTTATTGCAGACGTAATGGATGCTCCTCGACCTACCAGAGACCCCACCCCATCTCCCAAATCTGCCCCAGAAGTGCCCGCCTACCCTGCCCCCCTCCCTGCCGCGATACGATCTGCTGCAAAAATCAAGAAAGAAGTGGTGGTGGTGAAGAAGCAGCAAGAAGAAGAAGTCGAAGATGTGCCTCCTCGTTCTCTTTCTACCACGAATGGTGTCGCTGAAGCGGAGCCAGAAAGGCCGTCGGTCGTGGTGCCCCCCGCTCACCTGGAGGCCCCTCTTGAGTCTCCCATTGCACAACCAGAGGAGCTTCGTCTCCCCAATGGCCTCCCACTGCCGGCCCCTCGAGATCCAGAGGTGCCCGAATCTATTACCGCACGCACGACGACAGAGAGAGACGACAGCCCCATCGCCGAACCCGATATCAGCGAAGTGGTAGAAACCCCCGTCACTCAGGCGCCAATTCTCCAAACCCCCCTTTCATCTCCTCCTGTTGTTGAAAAGCCCACACCTGTCGAGGAGACTCCGGTTGAGCTTGTCGAAGAGGAGGAGGAGGAGGAAGAGGAGATGTCCGTTGAACCTGAAGAGGAGAAAGCGCCCGTCGAAACTGATGAGCAAGAAGAATGCCTCGCTCCTACTCAAGTGGAGGTTATTGAAGAATCCCCGGTGCCAGATCCTGCAGAAACGGTACCAGTTGTAGCGGAAAGTGTTGAAGAAATGGAGCTGACTCCTCCCCCTCACACAGAAGAGGCATTGACTCCTCCCCCCATAATAACAGAAGAGGTATTGACTCCTCCCCCTCCCGCAGAAGAGGAATTGACTCCTCCCCCTCCCACAGAAGAGGCATTGACTCCTCCCCCTCCCACAGCAGAAGAGGAATCGACTCCTCCCCCTCCAACAGAAGAGGCATTGACTCCTCCCCCTCCCACAGAAAAGGCGCTGACTCCTCCCCCTCCCACAGCAGAAGAGGCATTGACTCCTCCCCCTCCCACAGCAGAAGAGGCATTGACTCCTCCCCCTCCCACAGCAGAAGAGGCATTGACTCCTCCCCCTGCCACAGAAGAGGATAGGGAGGAAACTGAAACTCCGCCTCCTCCACAGACGCTCCCCCCTGCCCTGGTAGAAGCTACTATGCAAGGTAAGTTTATAGGTTTATAGTTTTATATATAGGTTTTTAATGCAGCCTACCCTGAGTTAATACTTTATTTTGAATTTTTAGTTACAATAAAGCAAAGACACACACAATATACAGTAAGTAGATACCCGAAACCTTTACGTGGCGTACAAGAGAAAGAAAAAAAAAAAGCTGGCTATTACATTGACAATTCCTGAGAATAGTCTAAAGCTGCCAGTCCACAGCATCGTAGACCTAAGGGTAACCCACTACCAACAAATATATATATATATCCTGAGATCCTTTAACCGTGCCTTATCATTTCACTTTTAGCTGCAGCCAGTATTTTATCGCTTATTAAATGTGCTATACAAATAAACTAACCTTAACCTTATAGGGAAGCACCAATTTCTCAGCCAATACCAGAATGACTCTTTAGACCACATGTGTCAAACTCAAGGCCCGCAGGATCATTTCTAATTACTATTAGATCTGGCCCGCTGGTATATTGCACGCACACCTTCACTCAATCCTGAGGGTCTCCTCAGCTCAGAGCCTGACCCCAAACATTGATGACCTTGCACCCGAGATGAGATGCCAAGTATCTGGCTTGAACTAGCATCACAGAGCAGCACACTGAGTTTACATGGATGTTTCCTTCTGCACTTTTTCTCTCACGACAACAGGGCATGTTTGGTTTGTTCTTTGAGGGAAATAGTTTTTTTGAAGCTGTTGTTGGCCTGTGGAAACATTTAATCATAAGAAATGAATGCAACTGATTATTTAATGTTGTTTTTATAGGCAATAATTTAAGCTTTGTTAGTTCCAGGTTTAATATGTGCAATAAGTTCATTTCAATAAGTTGTGCAATAAACATTGAACCAGTCCGGCCCTCGACTAGCACCCATTTTTTAGTTTGACACCCCTGCTGTAGCCGATGCTCACACATGAAAGGAAACTCCCTTTAAAGTTAAAGTAGATCGCCCTCACTCTCCTCAAAAATGACGGTTTATCCGACCTCTGCACACATGGCCAACCAAAAATAGATTATTATTGCTGCCTGTCAGCTTATTTGCTGATGTGAGACAGTAAATGAAAAACATTATAATTATCTTGTCGACAAATTCCTCAGATACCAAAAGATACCCATTAATTTGTGAGAGTTCAATATGGGTAGAGCTCTAGTTACAACACGATACTACATGTGGTTAATATCTCTGAATCTTCTCTCAGATTATGTTTGTGTTGATCTGAGGCTCATTGTGTTCGACTTCCTTCCTTCAGCTGCTGTGTCTGTGCCAAAGAAGAAGCGGAAGATGAAGGATCTGAACAAAAAGGAGACCGTGGGCGACCTCCTCGATGCCTTTAAAGAGGTGTGTGTGTGTGTGTGTGTGTGTGTGTGTGCAGGAATGCAGTTAATAATTCATTTCAAAGCTTGCACAGCGTTTTATGATCCCTACAGTCACCTCAACGTGCCCTCATTTGATGCTAAATGACTTATTTCCAAGAAAATCATCAGCACATCTCTCTGTTAAACACAAGACTTAACGAGGTGCTTTGATATGAGTCTTTGTAAAGGTATTCAGTTTTACCGATTGTGTCGCTTAATTCAACTGATCGATTGTGTTCGTGTCTCCCGTGACCCGTTTCAAGTTCAAATTATATAACAACTACGCTCTAGTTTCTTGTAATCGGAACAAGGCTTCATGATATCTTCCACAACAGCTGTATAAACACTACAAAACTGATTTTGACCATTTTAGCCAAGTCTGAAGGTCTCTAAAAAAAAAAAGTGTATAATTTGGTGTTGGGGTCTGGGGAGACCCAGCAGAAATGTTTTGGGTGACTCGAGGTCAAATTTGGCCCAATCAAGATTCATCGTGCACAAACTTATCTCGTGCCCTCATTGGTCATGTGCGCGTTCGTGTGTGTTGGAGGAGGGGCTCTGTGAGGAAGTGGGAGATTTTTTCCAGCTGTGTATTTTCAAATTCTAGCGCACTCGAGCTGGTTTCTCCAAAATTACCTACCCCACCTTTAAGATATTATTTATGTAGCCTTCCTATCAATTGTTTTCAAGCTCAATAATTATAAACAAAGATAATATTTGACTGGAATTTCTCCCATTCATCGGCATCTTCCCGAACACATTCACCTGCACCAACTTTGTCTAATTGAAACCCTGATTTTTGAGATATCAGTCTGACCTAGTAGGGCTGCACGATATATCGCGTCGTGACGATAATCGCATTATGCGCATGCGCGATATTATTTTTTTTAGGACGTACGATATTAAGTAGGCAAATGAACTCAAACACGTCATGTTACAATTATTTTGCTGCTTGCTACAAAAGGAAGGCTCTGCATGCACAGCAAACCACCAATCACAATCATTCTCGATCAAATCACAGCAGGATAACCGAGAGCTTGTTGCTCTGATAACTTAAGATCCAGTTCTAAGTCCGTGACTAAAATCCTTCATCCGGTTAAATATTGTTAAAAAAATACCAATTGTATAGCATTAAAGTTCAAGAAAGGATGGTTTGCGGACAAAGAAAACTGTCTTTTCTTCAATTCCTGTATTTTTTCATATCGCAGGGGAAGAAAAATATCGCAATGTCAGTTTTTTAACAATATCGTTCAACCCTAGTCTGACCTTTTCTCCCTTCTTTCCACCAGGAGCAGGTAGTGGTTCCTCCTGAGCCTGAACCAACCCCCGTCCCAGAGAAACCCCCCGTCGTCTCCACTCCTGCCCCAGAGGATCCGGATATGACGTGGGAGGACAAGGAGGACAAAGAAGGCAAGATGGACGCTGAAAACACCAAGCCGGATCCCAACAACCCTGACAAAAAGTACCAGTACAAAGAGGGTGGGTCTCTGAACCTTGAGCTGCCATCTTATCTCTCATCAGCTACGTTTGTGTTTGCTTTGTTAAACACCTGGGAGTGGCGTGTGTTACCTGACTGCTGTGGGAAATGATAGATATGTGATGGTAGAGCATGATGTTTGAACAATAAGCTCAAGAAGGAGAAGCTTGAACAAGAGGGATTTAAGTTAAAGTCATGACTAGGGTTGCAAAAGTTTGGTAAATGTCCAAATTAGGCGTGGGAGTTTTTGAATTGCTTGATAGATAGATTGTGGTGAATTTAGCAAATTATTTGATATTTGTTCAGTACGTTTGACTTCACAATGCTCTAGAGTTATAGGAGACATTTGTATCTTAATCTGCAAAAACAAGCTGTGTAAGGCAAGGCAAGTTTATTTATATAGCACCTTTCAACACAAGGCAATTCAAAGTGCTTTACAAAAATGGAAGACATTAAGAAAATGGCATTTAAAATCAGTTATTAAAAATAAAAGATAATAAAATAAACATTAAAATAAAAAATACATGGATAAAAGTTACAGTGCAGTTTAAGATATGAATAGTTCAATTAAAAGCAGCGGCAAAAAGAAAAGTCTTCAGCCTGGATGTGTGTAGGATTTTGAAAAGTCAACGTTGTGAATGAAGTATTGGTTACAGTCCTAGTTAGTAATACAAATGTCAGCGCTTTTATCAGGTGCTTTACAATGGTAAAAAGATACACATTTGAATTAGAAATCAAGCTTATAAAACAACATAAGAACACATCGATAATCACACATTAAAAGCCAGTCTGAAAAAGGTGAGTTTTGAACAGTGTCTGAAAGGTGGTTGTTGTGTTGTGGGAGTGAGTTTCAGATATTTTCAATAAACGAATGTTCTGGTAATTTTTATGCTTTGGTTTCTCTTTTAGAAAATTGGAAGCCGATCGACCCAGAGCAGAAGAAGCACTACGACAGAGAGTTTCTTCTGGGTTTCCAGTTCAAGTCCGCCAGCATGAACAAGCCTGAGGGTCTGCCAGCCATCAGTGATGTCGTCCTGGACCAGGTGCAAACCCCTCGCAATAAAACGCATACACACACAGTGTTGCATAGTTTCTCCTATGTCGATGATTTGTAAAACCATGGAGGCAGTTAGGGATGGGAACGATTTTATTTTTTTTGTTGGGAGGGGTGCCTAAGTTGATTACATATTATCAAATGGAATAATTCAATGTATACGACAGTGCCATAGCTAAATGTGTTAGGTCTAAAGGTGTGTTTTGCTCCGCTCACCGGTCCCTCACAGCGGGCAGAGCTGCAGGTGCTGATCTCTCTCTCTCGCGTCCGGTTATACTTCACACGCGTTTATGTCCAAATCCATCAGATCTAGCTAGTTCTAGCTAATGATATGGCTGCTGCCCCTCCCTACACGCAGACCACGCAGACTCAAACCTCATCTTATGCCCAAATTCCAGCTGAGAGGGTCTTCTCTACAGCTGGCCTGATTGTGAATCGCCTCCGCACCCGCCTCTCCCCTGAGCATATAGACATGCTCATATTCTTAAACAAGAATGAGTATTGAATAGCTGCATTAATCGGTTAACCGTTTTTTTGGTGGTCGAATATACATTTGCTTTCAAATTCCCATCCCTAGAGGCAGTAAATGTGAAGGGAGGTTATGCTTTTGAACAAATACCCGTGTGGTTTTGTAATAAAGAAATGCATAGTGTGACGTGGTTCTATTTGTCCGTTTGAAAACATAGGCTTAGTCGGTTGATTTAAGCTCCACAACTTTATTTATAACGGCAACAAAAAAAATATATACTGTTTGATAAAAGTGAAACAGTATAACTTAAATAAACAAAATCAAAGTTACCAAATTAGGTTGTCTATCACTCACAGAGTAAACACATTCTAGCTGTTGCCTTCAATGCAACAATCTCCCGAATGAATCTTCCAGGGCCAACACCGTCCCTTATGAACCCATAGCCCCTCCCCACAGGCTTACCGTCAACAGGTTACACAATTAACTCAAAACCACATTGTCAACATAATTTTAACCCCTCAAACATGAGAAGAACTATCCGACCCAAACATAAACAGGTTAACTATCTCCCAACACAATCATCCCCCATAATTAATAAACGCAAAAATAAATAATAAATTGCATGGTTCATGACATCCTGTTTAAACCACGGAAGTGATGCGCCTCAGTCTTTTCCACATTCCCCTTTGCTGGGGAGACGGCGGCGAAACTCTGTTCGCTGCCCCGTCACTTAAGTATCGTGTACTATAGTTAAAGTATGAATCACAAGCGTGCACTCATGGTCGCACTACAGAAAGGGAGAGGGGAAAAAGGGACGTTTAGTGATGATTTAACCTTATATATTGACGACGGGAGAGAGCATGAAATGTTTGTTGTGTGCTGTCAGTGGCGGAGTCAGTTACTGTGATCCGCTCCGTCACACATAGCGAACCGGTGAGAGAAATCAGGGGTTTTTCCTTATGAAACCATTATTCCTGAATTATTGGCATGAAGTCTGACAATATACCAATAAAGCATGGACAAAGACGCCTTGACTCTGACAATAAAACACTATGGAAGGGCTTTTGACACAATATAAAGCAGGATATCATGTTGCATTAAGAGTGAGCATCTTGGAGAAAATCTCATTCGGTTTTTAATTCTGTTTTCAGGCAAACAAGGCCCCTCTGCGCCAACTGGACCCCAGTCGTATGAAAGAAATGATCTCTGGCCCCGACTTCACGCCTTCCTTCGCTAACCTCGGCAGACCTAACATGGGAGGAGGAGGAGGAGGAGGTGGTGGTGGAGGAAGAGAAGGGAGAGAAGGAAGAGAAGGGAGAGAAGGAGGAGGCGGAGGAGGAGGAAGAGAAGAAAGGAGAGGACCTGTAAGTTTTCTTAACCTCTTAACCCCTGAGCCTGTTTTTCAGGTCTCAGACTTGAAAATGACATGCCCAGAACAAATGACTATATCTTCACTTCTAAAAGGGGTAAATTAATAATCTTTTTTCTCAAAGCAATGATAAACCTGTGAGTTGGATGTAGAAGAGTCAGAATCAATATAGATGTTTTTATTTTAAAGTAAATTCAGATTGAACATAGTAAAAAAAAAAATAATAATTATTGTGTCAAATAAACCATTACTCATAGTGACCCTTGAAGGATGGGATAGTAGACTAAAAGCTTTAGGAATCCAAACTATAACATATAATAAGTACCCTGTATCAAGATTGATGCAAAACAAGTGACATTTGACCTTTTTAGAGAGGTTTAGCCAAAAGAAAACCACGATTTTGATGATTGACACCTCTTTTTAACCGCTAGAGCCAATAGAATCGAGGGGAAGTTCTTAAAATCCATCTAAACATTACCCATTGGTGAATTTCATTTCATTTCATTTCAAACCTTTATTTATCCAGGTTGTATCCCATTGAGATCATTGATCTCTTTTTCAAGGGAGACCTGCTCAAGTAGGTTCCACATGAAACATTAAAAACATAAACAGAACAACAAAAGGACATCATACAGTAGCATTACAGGGATTACAATTTACATAACTATCCACATGCACAGGTACCAACAGCTTCCGATTGAGTAGCATCCAACCGAGCTTTAAAAACATTGAGTGGCACCAGATTGCTCAGTTTCCATTTCAATTGCAGACTATTCCAGGACAGTGGAGCTGCGCATCTAAATGCTATCTTCCCTAAGACAGTCCTAGCAGTTGGCACATTTAATAAAACCACAGCATGCGATCTCAGGCAGTAGCCACTTACAATTCGCCGTGAGATCAGGGAGCAGATGTAGGATGGAAGTTTCTCTAACATGGCTTCATATATAAAAATATGAATGAGTGATGCGCAGCCAGAATGCCCAAAACAGGAAGCTGTCACAGCAGCTATATATGAAAACTCCGTTATTGACATAAATATGAAGATGGATTATCAGTAATCCTTTCAGACACATTGGATTAACCTTCAGCAGCGTTTTTATCGTTTTAATGCCATTGAACACAACTTGGGGGGGGAGATAAAACAAATACCCATGTGGTTTTGTAATAGATAAATGCATGACAAACTGGTGAGAGAAATCAGGATTTGTTTCCCTTTATGATAACATGATTCCTGAATTATTGCCGTGAAGTCTGACAATTTTACGACTTGTCCGCTACCTCCCACTTCTCTGCAACTTCAAGAAACCTAAAGAATGGGTGTAGAACATTTGTCATATTGTGTCGTTACGAGGTAGTGATGTTTCTTACTGATGTCTCCAGTCAGTGCAATACATGCAGCTTGTGCAAAATCTGCTGCATTTTCACTGCCATGCCATTCTTAGCCCAGCATTTGCGCTAGAATTACAGGAGGGAGTTGCGTTCTTGTTAATGTGATTATCTTGCGTGAATTATTTTTCTAACATGTTGATATTTCTAGATACATCGCAGGAGTTAACACGTCACCGTTGACAGCCCTAATACTTAGCCCTCATCAAATATTGTGCACTCGGCAATTTGAATATTGCACTATTCCATAATGCACTTTCAATAACATTTCAAGTAATTGTAATCTTTGTCGCCCTTGAATGAATTAGAAATCTGCCGCTAGATATACAGAAGGGAGTTGAGTTCAAACTTGTTAACGTGTTAATGTTTCTAGATGTATCGCCAGAGTTAACACGTTACCGTTGACAGCCCTAATACTTAGCCCTCATCAAATATCGTGCACTAAATATTGCACTATTCCATATTTAGATTAGATTCCTTTATTGTCACTACACAGCGAAATTCCAAGCATTCCCGATGGTGCAATCACACATAACAGACAGTAGAAGTAACATTTTGACAATAAAAGCTAACACTTTTAATATATACTATATAAAGTGACCTATGCTACATTGAACAGCACGCTTACAAAACAATACGACATTATCATACAAATACAAGAACAATACGGTCAAAGCAGTACAACATGTAAACGAGTCAATAAGTAAGTTATTGTACATGTATTTATCAGTGCGGTTGATAATTACAAAACTATAAATAAATGTGTTCTACATATTGCAATAACATTTAAAGTAATTGTAATCCTTGTCGCCCATGAATGAATTAAACATCTCCGTCTCCTCTCAGCCTCCAGGTATGGGTATGGGTGTCGGGGGTCCTCGTCGCTCGGCGCAGATGCAGCGCGAAAAGCCGAGGAAGGTCTTCACCACCATGTCTCTGAGCGATGACATTCAGCTGAACAAGGCGGAGAAGGCGTGGAAACCTACGACGAAGAAAACGCGCGTGGAGGTCGAGAGTGAGAGCGACGACTCGGAGCACGGGAAGACCCAGGAGCTGTTTAAAAGTGTTCGCAGCATCCTCAACAAACTCACCCCGCAGAAGTTTCAGCAGCTCATGAAGATGGTGACCGATCTCACCATCGACACGGAGGAGAGATTGAAAGGAGTCATCGATCTGACCTTCGAGAAGGCCATCGCTGAGCCTAACTTCTCCGTGGCCTACGCCAACATGTGCCGCTGCCTCATGGGGGTAAGTGGTGCCAAGCCGATGATTGTTGTTAGGGTGTTTTCATTTCATTTTGATTTGTTCCGTTCATGGTATGCACAACTTAATGTATAACAATTATTTACAATCTACACAGAGCTCAGTGGTGTGTTGCTATGACATAAAGTGTGACACCGTGAGCCTTCAAGCTGCACGTGTCTCATCAGACTTTCTGTAGCTTTGACAGCAAATAACATGGAAATAAATACAAGCTTTTTTTTTGTGTTCTGCCGCACTTTGGAAAATATTTCTTAAGCTAAAAGATGGAATTAGTGTTGAGTAAGCTTACATGTTCACTTAAGGACTGTTGATGTAAGGGTCTTTCTATACAGATGTGCACTTTTTGACACTATCGGGGTCGGCTCTCTCTGTAGCTTTGACGGCAAATAACGTGAAAATAAATATAAGCTTTTTTTATTTGTATTTATTGCACAGTGGAGAATCTTTCAAAAGAGAAAAAAAACTCGTCTTGGAGTTTGACGTGATACTCTGACTCTGAATTACATATTTGTATATATTTGGTCAGCTTATATATGCGTAACATTTAACTATGGCTACGTCCTGGCACATTTCCTTATCTTGAGCTTCTGACCCCTCTGGAAACTAACCACTGATACAAATATAGAATTTCGTACACAGATTAATTTGCTTCCACTTCCGCAAGCAAACAGCCAAAGATCTGTTAATTAAAACTACTTTCAGTCTTGCAAAAAGGACAAGATGCAACAAAATACTGTTTTTATAGTATAACTATATATACAACTTTTTAAGCTCTCTTATCAAATATGCCTTGTGCTTCCTGACACATTTGATGAGATGCCAGAGGCGGCTAAAAAGGTGACGCTTTTATCCAAAGCGACTTGCAATAAGTGCATTCGACCAAGAAGATACAAACTTGAAGAAAACAGAATCATATAAGTACATCAGGTTTCATAGAGTCGAAAGAGATGAGTTTTTAGTCTGTGCCGGAAGATGTGTAAGCTTTCTGCTGTCCTGATTTCAATGGGGAGCTCATTCCACCATTTTGGAGCCAGGATAGCAAACCCACGTGTTTTTGCTGATGGGAACTTGGGTCCCCCTCGCAGTGCGGGTGCAGCGAGCCGTTTGGCTGATGCAGAGCGGAGTGCACGTGCTGGGGTGTATGGTGGTAATAATCTTTAATTGTGTGTGTTTGCTGTTCTATTTTCCAGCTTAAAGTTGAAACCACAGATAAGCCGGGAGTCACTGTGAATTTCCGCAAGCTGCTGCTAAACCGATGCCAGAAGGAGTTCGAAAAGGACCAAGTTGACGACGAGATCTTCGAGAGGAAGCAGAAAGAGCTGGATGCTGCCACAGTGGTACAGTACTGCCTAAACAAATCTCAATTTAGGCTCTTTGTTTATGCACAAAATAAGTGATCTTGGTGTTTTATTTTGTATGTGTGGTGGGGAGCATTTGAAGGTGAACATAAATCAGAGGGAAGCCATTATGAGTTAACAGACTGGCACTTTTAAACCCTTTTAAACCTGTGTAATTCTGGAAAAAATCTTAGTAATACACATAAAAACTACATATTTTGTAAATTGTATTACACTGTGCACATGTTTACATTTTTATTGGACATCTTACTTACCCATATCACCTAGGATTATTACTATTTTCCTCATTGTCTTTATTAATTAATTATTCATAAAATGTATTTTTATTGCACATTTTTCTTGTGTTTAAACATGTTCTATTTATTTAATAATTTAACATTTTTATTGCATATTTTTAATTGTGTTTATATAAATATTATTTTTGTATTTGATCTTTTTATTGCACATTCTTCAGTAACCTTTTTAAAAATATATTTATCCGTTTCGAAACCCACATTTTACCAGGATAAATGAAATGTTCAGATTTATATTATTCTCAGATTATTCAATCGGCTAACATCTCTTCCCTTTCCCCGTGACTTTGTTCCTCCTGCAGCCGGAGGAGAAGCAGCGTCTCACTGAGCAGCTGCAGCGCGAGAAAGACAACGCCCGCAGGCGCTCGATGGGCAACATGAAGTTCATCGGAGAGCTGTTCAAGCTGAAAATGCTCACAGAGGTCATCATGCACGACTGCATCGTGAAGCTGCTGAAGAACCACGACGAAGAGTCTCTGGAGTGCCTCTGCAGACTGCTGTCTACCATCGGAAAGGACCTAGACTTCGAGAAGGCCAAGGTACGAAGTGCATTTAGACTAAACTATTCCAATTTCTGCGCTGTCGTTTTTTGTTTTAGAAACAGCTGGTATACAAGAATCCAGATGAAGAAAATGTCCCACCTTTGCAAATAATTGTTTTAACGATCCCAAAGTCTGTGTAAACCATCAAAATCTGAAGTGTTATCATTCTACTTTAACCTATAGAAGTTAACATTAAAACAAACAATTGCAATTAGGTAAAAACATTTTTAACGATTAAAAGGATATATTTTTAAATTCGTTTAGTTTGAGGCAGCTTTACGAATCACGTGCCTACAGTATATGCATGCTGTTGAATGTGTTGGATCATGTTTTAATTTGTTGTGTGGAAGATGTACTCACCACACTGCTGTGTTTTGTTCCTTAGCCTCGTATGGACCAGTACTTTAATCAGATGGAGAAAATCATAAAGGACAAGAAGACCAGCTCCAGGATCCGCTTCATGCTGCAGGACGTGCTGGACCTTCGACGGGTAAACACTAGCACAACAAGAGTTGTTTTTATTATATGCTAACAGGTATTGTTTTAAACTAAGAAACAAAGACAGCTCCTAAGTCAATTTAAGGATGATTTACTTTCTTATTAGTATTTTTGTGTGTGTAATGAAGCCATTCCAGTACAGTTTAAGATTATTTCTCTGAAGGAATGCTGCCCACCGCCCACACAGTGTTACAAAACCTCTTTCAGTGTTTTAACAAGCTAACATCAGCTGCACAGTCAGCACATTGGCCAAACTTTACTTTGAAAAACACGCGCGCACACACACACACACACACACACACACACACACACACACACACACACACACACACACACCACACACACACACACACACACACACACACACACACACACACACACACACTTACTTTGTTCTTGCCTTTCTAGGAAAAAGGCTAAATTGAAGAGATAAAGCTGTGCAAGGCAGTGTTATTTGTGCCTCCCTGGAACAAAACTTCCAATATAACCTCTGAGTATATTCTAATTTAAGAGAAAACTACTCTTCTGCACCTCCTGGCTCTGTTTTCAGGCTTTAAAAAACTGGTCTTTTCAGAGAGGGCGTTTTTATTTGCTGTTTTACAAACGCAGAAGCACGTGCACAGCCCTTTTTTAGGTCAAAGCTTGATTCAACGAAGGAATATCCTGCAGGAAAAGCTTTTATTCCACCATAGTGTTTGCAGGAATTAATCTTAATCCTAGAAATGAGTCGGCATTACTACGCTTCCCGTTTCCTCGTCTAGAAATCAATGGTTTTCTGAACATGTTTCTGTCGGTAAATACAAAACTTGTCATAAATGTGTTTGCCAAAGTGCTCATTTTGCTGCAATAACCCAAAATCTGATGGAAAAATGTAATAGAAAAACGTTGAAAGAACCTTTGCAATGCTAAATTCAGGGTTGTCCTAAATATGTCATTATAGCACATCTCTTTTCCTCTAGACTAACCTTTATATGACTTAGGACAGAGAGGAATCTAACCTCAACCCTCTGTATCCTCTTAGCTTTTTATCTATTGAAGGTTATTATGGAGCTTTTGCCCAATAATGCTAAATAAAAACTGCCTTCCCCAGCTTTAAGAGTGACTAGGATGTGGATGTTTTCATCAGTTTCTCCCATGAACACCTTAGTCCTAATAGTGTTAATTTGTCAGCATTAACACTGCTAAATGCCTATTGAATCATCGGTCAAAATTTGAGATACTTCAGTTCTATTGAGTTATTTGTATTTAGTGTTTTTTTTAACCTGTTGCATATGTAATGGATATGACAAGTTACAAATACTAACGGTTCCTGGGTTGTCCAACAGATGGCGCCTGTTGCTTAACAACCGTTTATTAATACGTTGGACTTGAAGCTAGCAACAACCGCGCATTTGAGCTAATTAGCTTATTTCCTAATATCTCCCCACACTAGGTGAGTGTTATGGTTGATACATGTTGAATATACACTGATGTTGTGTTTTGGTGTTGTGAAGAGCTCACTGTTGGTGGGATGTCTGTTTATTGGGTATTTTCAGAGGGTTTGTTTGGGGAGTAACGGTTATAGTGCTGTGTCATGCTAGCTATGCTAAGCTAGCGCCGTTAGCTATGCTAAGCTAGCGCCGTTTAGCTTTAGTGGGCTCTGTCAGAATCAGTTTAATATCAAATAGTTTTACACTTACGAGGAATTTGCTTTGTTATAAGTGGTGCTTACAGACACATAGAAAGAAGAATACCTAACCAAAAGAGAAACAAAAGCAATAGTTATGTAGGAAACTGGGTGCAGTAAAATGTAATATAATATGACTAGGCCTATATATATTCAAAGTGGAGATTTATGCTGATTTTTTTTTTTTAAAGGAGGTAACATGCAACATTTGTACGTGTTAATAAGATATCTATGTTTGCAGTGTGCATTGTAAGTGTTTATACGTTATGCCAGAAATCTATGTTAGCATTGTACTTATGTTTATATGTTAATAATAATAACTTGAATTTATATAGCGCCTTTCATAACCTCAAGGTCGCTTTACAAAGAAACATACAAGGACAAGAAGTGTAAGTGGGGGGGGGGGGGGGGGAAGAGTGAGTTATTGTTGGAAGGCGATGTTGAATGGATACATTGGATCTAAAGCCAGCATCAACGCGTCTGCTTCTTTCCTAATATTTCCCCATATTAGAAGCAAAACAAATGTTCTTGGAATCAGTGATGTGGACACACTAACATTTTGATATTTGTAAACCTTTTGACTGCCATGTAATGATCCAATACACACAGGGAGCAAATCATGTCCCAAATAATCCTGTCAATGTCCTGACATAATATTTGTTTACGGTTATGTGGGACGATTAAGGTATTCCTTTTTTTGTTGAATGTTTTCATTATAAAGAAAAATCATACAGAATGTCATTGAGCAGTCAAATACATACTGTAGATGCAACCGTGCACATTTCAACCAGACTGCCAGAAAGCAGATCAAATATACCCCCCCACCCCAGCATGAAAGAAATCAACAAAAACAATGAGATAAGTACACGTTCTCATAATGGACACAAAAAAACATACAAAGCAAACAAAAAGACAAAATATATATACAACACCTACAATATTACTTTAGAAATTGTTGTAACCCAGATTTCAGCAACACTCAAATCTATACATAATCATCTTCAAAGTGTTAAATCCAGCTTGCACTTCTCTACGTGTGATCAATGGCTGCCAGGCCTTATCAAATCTATCAGTAGATCCCTTCAGAGTGGACTGGGTTTCCTAAGGTATTCTGATTCTGACAACCTCTATATTTTACTTCCTCCCCTCCAGAGCTCGTGGGTCCCCAGGAGAGGCGAACAGGGCCCGAAGACGATTGAGCAAATTCACAAAGACGCCGAGCTGGAGGAGCAACGGGAGCAGATGAAGGTGCAGCATGCCTTCATCTCTAAGCCGTCAGGAGGCCACGGAGGCAGAAACGACGGAGGCAGGAACGACGGAGGAAGGAACGACGGAGGAGGTCGAGGGGGCCGTGGTGGCCGCGAGGGCCGTGACAACCAGGGCCGAGGGCAACCACCCCAGGACGAAGGCTGGAACACAGTGCCCATCTCCACCAAAAACCGACCCATTGACACCTCTCGCCTTAGCAAAATCACTAAGGTAGGAGAAAGGACACTTCACTTGGATAGGAATGCAAGATTTCAATACGATTTCAATACGATTTTTGTTATTTCTTTCTACCTTCAACGATTTAGGTTGTAGTTTGTTTCATGAGTGTTTTAGTTTCAGTTTCTTAGAAAGGCTGAGTTTGACTTGGGCACTGTGTTAATATAGCTACATACATACTGAGACCTTAGTTAGATTCATTAGTGTGTTTGCTGGTTTTAGTTTCAGTTTCTTAGAAAGGCTGAGTTTGACTTGGTATTACGTCTTTACAAGAGTCTTTGAGCACTAGGAAAAGCGCTATAAAAATTATTAATACTAATGTCTCAGTATGTATGTAGCTACATCAACATTCATATTACATGGTTGAAGATGATGTGGCAGTGTTAATTTTGGCAGCTATTTTTGATTTAGTCTTAGTCTTTAGACGAAAATGGTTATTAGTTTGTCACATTTTAGTCATTTTTATCCTTAGTTGACGAAAACTCAAAACATTTTAGTCCAGTTTTAGTCGATGAAAAATCATTACGTTTTAGTCAACTTTTAGTCAAAATGTTTTCTCTCTTTAAACTAATTCAAACACAGGTATCTGAAATTGGAATCAATGTGACAGCATCAAGTGTTGAAATTCATAAAGCAACATTTCACTCTCTTAACACTTTACTTGTGTAATATCTAGGGATGGGTATCGTTAAGGTTTTTAACGGTACTACTACTCTTATCGATACTGCTTATTGATCCGGTACTTTAACGGTATTCTTATAGGTCCTTTTGTTATTTTTTAAACGGAAAAAACTAAACAAATTGTTAACTGAATTAACATTGCTTTATTTAAATGTGAAATAAATCAAATATATATAATTATGTTATTATATTGTACTGTACTTGAGTAAAATGTTGAGGTACTTTACTGGAGTATTTAAATGTTTTGCTACTTAGTACTTCTACTCCACTACAGTTCAGAGGTTAATGGTGTACTACTACATGTATTGAATACCTTTAGTTACTTTACAGATGTGGATGAATGATGTGAAATATAATCAAGTGTTAAATCAGACTTTAGTTCCACCTGGAGTAAATCCACAAGCTACCCTGCAGTATACAAAGTCATTCAAACTAGCTGCACCTTTACCAGCTTTGAGAACACTTTCATGATCAATCATTATAAAACATATCATATATATTATTCTGAAATGGACCAATCTGCACAATGACTACTTTTACTGTCACTACTTTAACTATATCTTGATGATAATACTTTTCTACTTTTACCGTAGTAACATTTTGAATGCAGAGCTTTTACTGTAACAGAGTATTCCTACAATCTGGTACTTTTTTACTTGACGACAAGATCTGAGTACTTCTCCCACCTCTGCGCACCTGATGTGATAACGTTAATCGTAATTGCGGAAACAGAGCTACGAGTTAAGGAAGTCGAAAATTGTGCATTTCTCCGACTGAATATGACACCTTTTGGCCGGCTGTTTGGACAGACTGCTCGTGTCAACGCGCTTACGCGAAAACACTAATGGCAAACGAGCTTTGTCCACATCGAGCCTTGTAGAGTGTCTCTCTACTCTCTGAACGCTCCGTCCCTGGCAGATCTCTGTGTGCCGCTGCAGCGTCTGTTAGGCCCCGCCCCCCGCACACAGAGAGACACAGGGGCCGTTTCTCAATGTCGAGTATACCGGCTGCAGAGCCACTATTTCAAGTATACTACGTCATCGAGTGACGCCGAATGCTGGGCATTTAACATGCATTTAAACAGTCATTCGGCGCCACTCGATGACGTAGTATACTTGAAATAGTGGCTCTGCAGCAGGTATACTCGACATTGAGAAACGGCCAGGGAGATCGCTCTTCTGGAGTGAAGAGAGCGGAAATAATGATATTGCAAGTTAGAAGCGTAAGATGCATTTTGACAGACAAGACAGACAATTGGGGGGAAATACCCTGCATTTTGAATGTCCGATAGTCCACCATTAAAACCTTAGTCTCGTCAACGAAAACTAAATATACATTTCGTCATCGTTTTTTTATTATCAAAAATCTATTTTTAGCTCGTTATCATCTCGTCTTAGTCATGTAAAAAAGGTCGTTGACGACGAACATGTTTCGTCATAGTTTTCGTTGACGAAATTAACACTGTGCTGTGGGAATGGTCATGATGTGGAGATAATTATAAGATCTGTTCAAATCCCATTAATGTTTGTATCCCCTTTTTTGTTTTCAGACGCCTGCTCTTGACTTCAACAATCAGGTCCTGGGCCCCGGTGGTAAAGGCATGTTTGGCAGCTGGGGGAAGGGCAGCAGCGGGGGCAGCACCACTGCTAAGCCTGCAGAAGCCGGTAGGTTTCCCAGAACAATGTGATTACGTGATGTTTTGATTCTTTCCGTTAACTGTCAAGTGTGAACTAAGTGGACGTTTTTGTGTTTCTCTTATTTTCCCACGATACTGTTATGATTGGCTGTGAATAAGAAAATACGAAGGACAGACCGTCTAGTTACATTTATTTATGTTTTTAGAAAGGGGCCGGTAATCTCCCTGCTCCTTTCCGGGTACGGTGTGTTTATAGAGACATGTTTTGTAAATAATTGTTATACATTAAGTTGTGCATACCATGAACGGAACAAATACAAATGAAATGAAATAAAAAGTTAGACTCAGAGAGCACAGAAAAGGTCAATGCTGCATTGCCTTGTTACCTGGATGTTCCATATCATTGATTTTGTTGGACAGATTATTATATTTGTCAGTAGTTTAAAAGAGGTTGATATAACAAAATGGATTGACATTCAGAAAATGGAAAACACTATTGAAGTATTACTTAAACATTGAAAGAACAATGTCAAAAAATGTACTTATTGGGAACCATCTTCTCTCTTTTCATTTTTACGATACCAAATGCATGCCTTTTTATTACGTTGATCGATATTAAGATCACAAATATCTATCATGATTCATTATTGCCCTGGGGTAAGATATTGAAACCCCACATTTCTCCTGTAGGCATGGCCAACAGTTTAAAGGTGCTTTGTAAAGGTATTATAATGTGCTATTTCTGTTGTGTTTCCCCTCCAGGCCCAGAGCCGCCAGCCGGCCGCCCAGCCACCAACACGGGGAACAGATTCTCCGCCTTACAGCAGGCGACCTCCGGCGCCTCGACTGCTCAGGACTCAGACAGACGAGTCCCTCAGAGGTGAGCAGCAAGAAACCTAAAGTATTGTCAGAGTATTCGGACCTGTGTGATCAGAAAGCTTTAGAGTGTAATTTTCCAGGCCTTTAAAAGTAATCTCATTAGTGTTTTCCATTTGAAAAGTTGTTTTAAAAGTCATGGAAATGTGTTGTTTTAATTTCAAATTGCACATAATGTAACTTGTAATTGAATTAAGGATCTTTCTTGTTCCGATTCCACAGAAACAGCTCGAGTCGAGAGCGCGGCGACCGTTTCGATCGCTCGGGCCGCGGCAACGATCGGTTTGACCGGCGTGACGACCGCGACAGAAACCGCCTGCAGGTCACCAAGCGCAGCTTCAGCCGTGAGAACGAGGGGAGCCGCGAGCGGGAGCAGCGCGGGTCGGCAGATCCCGTCCGCCGCGTCGCCAGCATGACCGACGACAGAGGGAGCCGAGAGAGAGCCAGGAGCAAAGAGGACGGTAGGAGGACTTCAGTTATTCACACTTTATTCACACTCATAGTAATAATAATGCATTGCAGTGCTCATAGGACATTTAAAAAAAAAAAAAAATTTAAGTTAAGTATTATTGTGTTAAAATGTTTCTACTATAACAAGAACACACTTCTCTTGGCGGTACAATAATTCAAATTCTAGGGATATTTCATCTATTTTATAAGCAATCTGTGAACTCGGAATGACACACTTTACCTATACACAACGTTTAATCAGATTTCTAAAATAAATATCCTTTTAATTGTTTTTGTTTGGAGTTTGCAAAAAGGACAGTAGGTCATGTGACTTAACTGCATTTTTCTGGGTTTCCCTAGTTTCCCAAACTATTTTATTTATTTATTTTATTTATTTTATTTATTTTATTTCTTTTATTTCTTTTATTTCTTTTATTTTATTTAACTTATTTAACTTGTTTATTTTATTTAACTCAATATTGAGTTTAATATTGAATGGCTCTCTCGGGCATGGTAGAATGGAGAGACTATAAATCTGATATAGTATGTTATCAACCTATTCGTCTTTTCTTGTATATCTTTTGAATGAATCAGTCAACTAACTACTCATTTGGTTAAGAGATTCATGATATATATATATTTGTTTCTTTCTGTGTGAACAGTGACACGAGAGAAATCTGACACCCCCCCTCCCCCCCCGGCCTCCACCAAGCCCACGCTGACTGAGGAGGAACTGACCAAGAAATCCACCGCCATCATCGAGGAGTATCTGCACCTCAACGACATGAAGGTACGAAAAATAGAAGTAGCAATATTGTTGTTGCATTACAATTTTACTTTAAACAGTTTTATGTTCATAACATGATAACTTATTGTACGTTATTAAACCAAATGCCTCCTAGCATAAATAAGCGATTGTTGGTCAACCCTGTCAGAGACTTTATGAGTCAGCATACTATAACAACCTAATAAGGCTGTCCAACAACTTCTTCTCAGACCCACTTCATTTTCTGTGGCCCCATAAGAGCTTGCAAAGAATATAATATGTTTATTATACGGTTACATGCTACTTTACAGCAGCACGTTGCCCATAAACTACATGTCCCACAATGCATCTCAAATTTGAATTTTTTTTTTAACCAGAATTTTTTTTTTTTTTTTTTAATGTTACTTTTTTTCAAAATGTCACTTATTTTTTTTATTTTTTTTCAGAATTTGGCTTTTCTTTTTAAATCATTTTGTGACATTCTTACTGAAGAGACTTGCAATTATTTGCCCTAGACTTCTGCTTTCAGACGTAGTTAATTATGAAGTTATTACCCTATCTGATAATAATCCAATGCAGAGGTAATCATGTAATATCATACATTATTTTATATATATTAAATGTATTTTTATATAGTCTTAAAGTTACAACCGGCCCTTTGAGTGCAACCATAATGCTGATGTGGCCCGTGATGAAATTGAGTTTGACACGGCTGATCTAATGGGAGATTCAATAAAGTCAGACTGAAGCATCCTTTGTGCTCCAGTCAGTCCTCTCAGTACATACAGAGTGGAGTCCAATCAGATGCACGCTGAAGGCTCTTTGAGCAGGTTTTCTCTCACTGATTGTGCTGTTATGTTAAATGTTTGTTTGTTTTTCATGTATTGTCTTGATGTGTCTGTTGATGTTACACATGGAGCTGCTGTGATGCAAGTCACATTTCACACTTGATCTGAACATTAAAGTATTATCGTATCGATTCAGATTGTGTCATTGCTCTGTTATAAACATTAAAATGACCGTCTGACAGCAACTAAGCAGAGTTTATCAGCCTAACACCCCCTCTGTGTGTCCTCTCCGTCCCACAGGAGGCTCTGCAGTGTGTGCATGAGATGAGCAGCACTCAGCTTCTCTTCCTCTTCGTACAAACCGGCCTGGAGTCGACGCTGGAGCGCAGCACCATCGCCCGAGAGCGCATGGGCCTCCTGCTGCAGCAGCTCATCAAAGCCGGCACTCTGCCCAAGCAGCAGTACTACAACGGGTCAGTGAGGGGGGGAGGAATGTGTATTTATAATGTTGTATATCGTGTGTAAAAGGTGTCTAAAACTTCACAGATAACACGAGGGTTCCCACGCCTCTTAAACATCTATTTTAACGACTTTCCAATTGAAAAAAATGTTCAATTCAAAACCCAAAACGACAAAGTTTGAGATTTAAGTTGAAAAAAACACGAGTTGAAATATAAATGAAATATTGCCAAAAGGTTTTTTAAGATAGCATGAGTTGTAAAAGTTGGTGTACTGACAAAATCAAAACACCAAAGACATCAGTAATGAGTATATATATCGATATTGTGTGTAATGGGGCTTTCACACCAACGCGGTTCCAGGGCCGGTTCGGAGCTAGAGCCTGAAAAGCACCGTTTTCTCCTGTACACACCAAGGAGCTAGGGAATATAAATATAAAATGAGCAGAAGCCAGCAGGGTAAATGATGGTTTAACCTGTTAAGCCCGAGCCTGTTTGCCAGGTCTCAGGCTCGAAAATGAAATTCCCAGAACAAATTACCATAACAGGCATATTTATACTATTTTTTTTTCAAAATACCAAACAGATCATGCATTTTAGCCATGCCTCATTTTGCTCAATTTGAAAAGTGTTAGCTCGGTTTTTGCAAGGGCTGATTCAGTGAGAACAGCACCACCTACAGGCCTGGCATATGTACTACAGCGTCTCCAGCGCTTTCGAACGGCAATGGCCGTGTCTGTCTCCTCCTGATTGGTGGAGTTGGCCCAATAGCCGTAGCGCCACCGTCCTGACGTCAGGACAGTGTTCAAATCTGGATCAGTTTTTATCAGATCCGTTGCAGCCCCTTTTTTAGAGATTTGGGTATGGAGGAAAATAGAGAGGGTTGTGTTTTCTGACACTTGGTGAGTTCCCTGGAACACCGGCGACACATATTCATGTAGAAAAGACATACAAAAGTGCATTTTGCATGATAGGTCCCCTTTAATTACTCTCAAAAAGTCTAATTTCTCTTGCTTTATTCTTACCTTAAACTTATGTGATGCCTTTATGCTTAGTTTGTTCATCTTTTGAGTGCGTTTAAACTTGTTCTTCATCGTATAAATAAACGTTTAAATGTCTCCTCGCTGTGTGTCCTCAGGCTGCAGGAGATCCTGGAGGTGGCTGAAGACATGGCCATCGACATCCCTCACATCTGGCTGTACCTGGCAGAGCTCATCTCCCCCATGCTGCACGAGGGAGGCATCCCCATGGGGGAGCTTTTCAGGTTAGAAGCCCCCTCCTCACATCGGACAAATCAGCAGGAGAACATCCCTTTCTGGCTGTTTGATGTTAACCTGTGTTTGACCTTTGTTCCTCCAGGGAGATTTCCAAACCTTTGATTCCTCTGGGCCAAGCCGGAGTCCTGCTGGTGCAAATCCTCAACTTACTGTGCAAAGAAATGGTGAGAAACTCTTAATTACAGTCAATTATCTATACTTTAATACTAAGAAATGGCTGGGGGCTTCTTAACAAGTTATTTTACTTCGAAGCACATTTCATTTCTACCATTTATGGATCTGTAAAACTGAGTTTGTCCTCAAAGATTGACGCAAAAGCACGACTAAAAGTCTTGTAGACGTTAAATAAGTGTTAGTCGACCAATCGTTTTATAATAGATGTTATCATGGGCCATATAAAAAGTCATGGGAAGGTTTTGTCCCATGAAAATGTGTGGGAACCTTCATATTCTCATTCAATCTTAGCATTTGAACAGTTCTCAAATCACAAAATTCTCACTTTTTCTCAAAATTCTCACTTTTTCTCAAAATCTCAAAATTCTCACTTTTTCTCAAAACACAAAATTCTCACTTTTTCTCAAAATCACAAAATTCTCACTTTTTCTCAAAATCACAAAATTCTCAGTTCATATGGTGAATGCACATCAGAAGGGAAAGTGTCTACAACTTTTTTTTAAACAATCTTTCCCCTTTAGAGCCATAAAAAGGCGGGAGCGATGTGGCGAGAGGGCGGTCTCCGGTGGAGAGACTTCCTCCCCGAGGACGTCGACGTCAACAAGTTCGTGACAGAGAAGGTGAGGATATTTACTAACATATAAATACAGTTGTTAATCTCACCTTACATTGAAGACCTGCAGTGTAGCTTTCAGACTCAAGATATGCAGATCAATAAATGAATAATCGACGTAAATTATTATTTGCTTTTATTTTAAGAATTAAAATACAGTGTGTAGATTAGACGTAATATATATATATATATATATATATATATATATATATAGAACAGCTAGAGAACGAGTCTCATAGTTCTGTCTGTGTACTGCTTTAACCTGTGGCTGTTACTTAAAAAAATACTTTAAAAAAAGTGGAAAAGAGAATTAACAATTAAAAATAAAATGAGAAAATTAAAAACATTATATCAAATATAAACAAAACAATACAAAATATTTTATATAATGAATGTAAAAAGTCAAAAATACTAATACTACTCCATGAACAGAAATGTCTATCAATGTGCACCGTCTAAAATAATACAACCAAATACAGATGATACATTTGGGTATTGTCCACAGTAATAACTGTTCCATGTCTACTATGTGTAATTGTAAAGCGCTTTGAGTGCCTTGAAAAGCGCTCTAATAAAAATGTAATGAATTTATTATTATTATTATTATAATAAAGCGTGTTTGTGTTGTGCAGAAGGTGGAGTTCACGCTGGGTGTGGAGTCTGAGGACGGTCAGAAGGAGGAGCTGAGCTCTGAGGAGCTGAGCAAACAGATTCAGAGGCTGATCCAGGATCAGGCCGACGACCAGAGGCTGTTTGACTGGATCGAGGTGAGGGCCAATGTTTACTAACATCTGCTTTTCTGTTTGCTATGATCCCTCGTCACCGGCTTGAGCTTCAATCTCAGGATCCATGTATGTATGATCCTCTCCAGAATGGAAGTAGTCATCACATACAGAGCATCAACTAGTTCCTGAACAGTGTCCTTCACATGCTGATATCCAAGAGAGGGAGTTACACAGTCACAAGATGGAGGAATAGAAAGCAGTATTCAATGTTTACTTCAGATTAGCTCCACGTCAGAAATGATCATGCTTGTCTGTTAATCACATAGCTATCATATGCCTAAAACAGTCCTGGTGCTCTTCTAGGTAATCATACATCCTGTCATGTACAAAATACATGAAAATCTCAACATTCTGACATTTTCTTAAAATCTCAAAATTCTCACTTTTTCTCAAAATCACAAATTTCAGTTTGAATTTGAACAATGCTTTTCAAACCCTAACCCAGTTGTAGGGTTCTTGGTTCTCTGCATGTTTCTAAATGAATGTATCTCTGTGTGCAGGCTAACCTGGATGAGCAGCAGATGTCCTCCAACATGCTGGTCAGAGCTCTGATGACATGCATCTGTCAGTCAGCCATCATCTGTGAGTTATCAGCATGTTCCCTGACGATATTACGCATTCAATCAAGTCAGAATTACCTCATAAACTACGCCATGCCAGTCCCGTTAATGACGTTTTGTTTCCTGCAGATGAGAACCCGAACAAGGTGGACGCCGCTAAGATCAAGAAGAGAGCGAAGGTCCTGCAGAAATACCTGAGTGACGACAAGAAGGAGCTGCAGGCTCTCTACGCTCTGCAGGCGCTGATGGTGGAGCTGGAGCAGCCGGCCAGTGAGTGACTTCTTAACATCTTTTAGAGCAGCGGTGTCCAAACCTTTTTCACCGAGGGCCACATAGAGAAAATATTCGAAGGGCTGGGCCGCTATATATCGCCTCATAAGTTCAGTTATAAGTTTGAGAAATCAATCAAATGTAGGTAAATTATTCCTTTTAAAAGTTGCAGCGGACCTGCAGGTTTCTGGGAGTTTGTTCCAGATATTTGGAGCATAATAACTGAACGCTGCTTCTCCATTTTTAGTTCTGACTGTTGTAGTATGTGTTAGGCTTTATAATTGGTTTAACATGGGAGGGTGTGGCGCGTTGGTGTTGTGATCAGGGGAGCACAGGTTCAAACCCCACTGCAGTCAGCATGTCGTTGTGTCCCTGGGCAAGACACTTCTTGTGGGGATTGTCCACAGTATTGAGTATGTAAGTCGCTTTGGATAAAAGCGTCTAACAAGTAACATGTAATGTAATATAGTTTAAATAGTCAATGAGTAATGTATTAACGTCTCTCGTGTTTCCCCTCTCCTTCAGACCTGCTGCGGATGTTCTTCGACAGCCTTTACGACGAGGACGTGATCAAAGAAGAAGCTTTCTACAAGTGGGAGTCGAGCAAAGACCCGGCGGAGCAGCAAGGGAAAGGCGTGGCTCTAAAGTCCGTCACCGCCTTCTTCACGTGGCTCCGAGAAGCCGAGGATGAAGACGAGTCCGACAACAGCTAGAGCAGGAAAAACGCTCCGTGGAGGATTCAGAAGAAAAAACCCTGAATCGGCAAAATCCTTCTGCATAAACAGAAACACAAAAAAAAGCAAGAAAAAAAAAAAGTTCTTCAACTGGGAGAGATTGTATTACGGATCGAACACTCGATCAGTTATTTTTTTTGGTTTCCTTTATTTTGTTTGTTCCCTTTTTGCGCAACTGAATGTCTTTTTTGGAAATAAATACAGGATAAATCGAGCGAGTAGAAGAGCGAGAGAAAAGCCGTGAGAGAAGACGCCGTTTCCTTCAGTATTTCTTTGAAGTTTACCTGGTTTTTTTCAAACGGCTGGTTTTTCCTCGCCACGGTCAAACACTATTCAAGACACTTTGCTTAATGACAGATATATACAAAAAAATAAACAACAAAAAAAAGAAAACTTTAAAAGGCTGTTCACATTTATATTTTTGATGACTTCATCGTGTGAGCGGCAGCATCACATCGATCGGTGTTGGATCTACACGACCAAGCGCTAGTGTAGACGGTTAGCTTTCCCTTTCATCTTGTTCCCGTGTTGGATGGTTGGAGTGAGTGTTTTGTAATAAAATTTAAAAAACTACAAAGAAGAGTGGCGAGCGCTGTCGAACGGACGTTCCAGATGGACGGTTTGTGGACGTGACGACAGATTTCACGCAGACTTTACGAGTGGGAGGCGATGAACTTTGACCATATTTTGCTGCTGGGGGGTGACGATGCTTCCCCGACGCCCCAAAAAAACCCAAAACCATGTGTCTGTTATACTCCTGCGCTTCAAAACACAAACTGTGGACTGAGAGAAAGAAAACGCGCTCCTGCAAAGCCTGTCGTCGGATTTTTAAAATATGAGAAAAAAAAAGTACACGGACAAAAAAATCCACTTGAATAAAACACAAAAAGCTCAACAGTTCGGATCCTAAAGCCTTTCTGCTTCCTCCAGTGGAAACGCATTTCAGGAGAGTTCTGTAAATATATAAATGGCTTCTGTTTTTTCAAAGAAAAAATGCTAACGTATCGCCATGTGATTCCCCCGAAACAAGTGGCAGTCTTTATCCCTCCTGTATTTATATTTTTCTCTCCTCGGCCGGCAGAAGCTGCTTGTATAATTATCCAACCCCCAAGTCATTGATTACAATTTAATTGAACATTTGTAAATACTTTTTTGCTTTACTTTATTAAAAAGATATTTAATTAAAGTAAAATGAATGCCTCTTTTCACATCCAAAAACTGGAAGAGATAATAAAGATTGTTGCCAATAAAAGAAGAAAAAATGTCTTCCTTTGCTTTTTATTAAGACTCTTGAATCCTAAACACTACGATCACTTCTGTTGTATATTATCACTTTGTTTTATGTACGTTTTTTTCTCATGTTGGCTTTTTTCTCAAAATCTCAAAATTCTGACATTTTCTAAAAATTCTCACTTTTTCTCCAAATCACAACATTTTCACTTTTTCTCAATGTTTTTTTCAAAATCTCAAAAGATCTGTTAACCTGTTACGCACCATCCCCCCGGTACCGGGCGGATAAACGCGTCATTTGCAGGAAACAACGTCTAAGGAATCTTAATATTTAATAAACTATGAATGTTTTATATCCATGTAACGGGAAGAAACTCAGCTAACTGATCTTTTTTTTTTTTTTAATCCGAAAAAAAAACCACAATGCTAACACTCAGCCTCTGAATTAGCCACGAGCGAAAAAAATGTAACCTATCTCTGCAACTAAACTCACAATAACTCCCTTATTACTTATCCTAGATGCACAGCCAACCACTCGTTTTGGGTCCCCTGGAGACACAGAATCGTTTGGTGCCCACCTCAACACTCAGTGATAAACATTTGCGACGCTATAAATGAAAGCGTACATCATAACATGTGGAGCTAGGTAGCTAGAAACGCTAACATGGCTTACCTTGGTCAAAACTGGTCTTCAATGGCATTAAAACGATAAAAAAACGATGCTGCAGTTAATCCATAGGTTCATCCAATGTATCTGTGCCCTCTTTGAAATTATTTCTGATAATCCATAAGCAATAAAACTGCTTTTTCGTTTCCAAATGTCAGAGCGAGAAATCGGTCCACTCTGATGCAAAATTACATGTGCGCAGCCCCCACCTTTTCTATTCACAACGTGTGTGTATGGGGGCCTCCCCCTTTGATTCTATTGGCTCTAACGGTCAGAAAGAGGTGTCAACCATCAAAATCGACCAAGGGGGGCCAGAGATATGGAGAAAAAAAACATTTTCACCCAAATCACCTCAGAGGTGGGGTGGTTTTGGCTAAACCTCTCTAAAAAGGTCAAATGTCACTTGTTTTGCATCAATCTTGATACAGGGTACTTATTATATGTTGTACTTTGGATTCCTAAAGCTTTTAGTCTACTAACCCATCATCCAAGGGTAGTTTTCACTATCTGTAAAAAAAAAAATTTGGACGGACACTATAATTTACAGTTTTTTACTATGTAAAATCTGAATTTTCTTTAAAATTCTCACTGAATCAGCCCTTGCTAAAACAGAGCTAAAAAATGTCAAATTGAGGAAAATGAGGCATGGCTAAAATGCATGATCTGTTTGGTATTTTGAAAAAAAAAAAGTATAAATATGCCTTATATAGGTATGGTCCTACACTATATTATTCAAATATAGCATGATAGGTCCACTTTAAGAAAAATTGCCACGATAACATGTAGTCTAAAGTCAAGGGAATATAGTTGCTTAGCTTTTTTTCAAATGTTTACTAAAATGCAAAACAACTTAAACAAACCAACAGAACATCTGATAATATTAATGCATTTTATTTATTGAGCGCTTTCCTTGAAACTCAAAGACACTTTACAAAGTAAAAATTCATAAAAACAACACTTATAAAACACAGCATTAAAGGTCCCATGTCATGGCCATTTCTACTGATCATAATTCCATTGTTGAGGTCTACTACAATAGATTACATTGTTCAATGTTCCAAACTCACATTGGTTTCTCATACAGCCTCTCTGTATAGTATGTGTATTCACTCTCTGTCCTACACGGCTTGTTGGAGCTCCTGCCCCCCCCCCCCCCCCCCCCCCCCCCCCTCCCTATGAGCCCAGTTGATTGGTCAGCTCGCCCACTGGACTGATGAGTCCACCACCGTTACAGCGGAACATCAGTGTTTATGTGTTACAATGGCGTTTGTTAGCAACCAGAAAATGACACCAGTAATGACAAACAGATGAGAATGCTGCGTGGGGTCTGGGGGCCGTGTTGGCGGGACGTTGCGGGGCTCGCTGCTTCGCCCTTTGAGGCCCGAGGAGCGGACAGTGTGAGCTGGGTTACTGCTGTCGTTTCCTGGTTGCTGCGTGGGGTCTGCGAGACAGTGCAAAAACCCAGCCTGAGCACACACTCACAGCCAGGCTGTGTGTGTGTGCGGAAATCCGCTGAGCCGCGGCTGAGAAAAGATAAGGCTGAGGGACCAAAACAAACGATTAAGAAGGCACACACAGACGGCTAATCTTTTTCATTTTCATCTCACCCGGACGAAAGAGTTTCTTTTTTATCATGGCGGCCTGGATTGAAGAAAGTGAAGACCAACTAATCAGCTTGATCCAGGAGAGGCCACCTCTGTTCGACATCACAGAGAAACGGGACGCGAACTGAGTAGTCAAAACCGGACTCTGGCGAGAGATTGAAACTATACTTGTTTTATCAGGTAAGATTCTCTTCTTTTTTCATCAATTGAGCTTTTTAGCAGAAACTGTTGGTTTGTCATTGTTCGCCAGCGTACAGTGACGTTAACGTGAAATATAATTTGTTATTTCAACATTGTGTTTTGTTGTTTGCTAGCTGTTGCTACTTGTTTGGCACTGCATAGGTTCAAGGGTTCAAGGTTCTTTATTGTCAATCTGACATAGTTACAGAGTAATTATGTAGTTGAAAATCTTATGTCACAGGCTTCTCCAACAATGCAACATAATAACATAATAACAATAAGAGCAAGAGCAATACAAAAAGAATAATAGTTATAAACTAAAGTGATGTGGAATAGTGCAATAGAGTCTATATACAAGTTATTGGAATGATATATATATATTAGGTATTAGATACATACTACCGAGTAGCAGATGAATGTTTGATGTTGTTTCAACAGTTCAATTTTTTAACAGTCTCACTGCCCGCGGGAAGAAACTGTCTCCGAATCTTCTTGTCCTTGCCAGGGTGCTGCGGTAACGTCTGCCAGACGGCAACAGAAAGAACAGTTTGTGGCTGGGGTGATGGGGGTCTTTGATAATATAGTGATTTCTTCCTGAGCCGCTGGGAGTAAAGGTCCTCCATGGATGGCAGCTCCGTCCTGGTGATGTGCTGTGCAGTTTTCACCACCCTCTGTAAAGCCTTACGATCGAGGTCGGTGCAGCTGCCGTACCAGGCCGTCATGCTGCCAGTGAGGATACTCTCTATCGTGCACCTGTAGAAGTTGCAGAGTATCCTGGAATCCATTTTGAACCTCCTCAACCTGCGGAGGAAGAAGAGCCGCTTTCGAGCTTTCTTGGTGATGGTGGTGGTGTGAAGAGACCATGTCAGGTCCTCAGTGATGTGGACCCCAAGGAACCTGAAGCTTTTGACTCTCTCCACCGTAGTCCCATTGATGGCGATGGGGGCGTGTCCCTCTCCCTGCTGCTTCCTGTAGTCCACAATCAGCTCCTTTGTTTTGCTGATGTTGAGATGGAGGTTGTTATCCTGGCACCAAGATGTCAGGTTTTCGACCTCCTCTCTGTATGCCGTCTCGTCATCGCCTGTGATCTGGCCGATGACGGTCGTGTCATCAGCAAACTTCACGATGGTGTTGGAGCTGTGTGTGGCCACGCAGTCGTGGGTGAACAGGGAGTAGAGGAGAGGGCTGAGCACGCAGCCTTGAGGGGCACCGGTGTTGAGGATCAGGGTGGAGGATGTGATGTTTCCCACCCGCACTGCCTGGGGTCTGCCCGTCAAGAAGTTCAGGATCCAGTCACAGAGGGCGCTGTTGAGCCCGAGGTCTCTGAGCTTGATGGCCAGCTTGGAGGGCACAATGGTATTGAATGCTGAACTGTAGTCAATGAACAGCATTCTCACATATGTGTTCCTGTTCTTCGGGTCCAGGTGTGAGAGGGCAGTGTGGAGGGTGAGGGCTATGGCGTCGTCTGTGGACCTGTTTGCTCTGTAGGCAAACTGCAGAGGGTCCAGAGATTCAGGGAGGGAGGAGGTGATGAATAATTTGACTAACCGCTCAAAGCACTTCATTATGATGGAGGTGAGTGCTACTGGGCGGTAGTCGTTGGGGCAGGTGATGATTGTCTTTTTGGGGACAGGAATGATGGTGGAGTGTTTAAGACATGTGGGGACTACAGACTGCAGCAGGGACCTGTTGAAGATGTCTGTGAACACCTCTGCCAGCTGAACTGCACACACCCTGAGAACACGGCCAGGGATGCCATCAGGTCCAGGAGCCTTGTGTGGGTTAACCCTTTTAAAGGATTTACACACATCTGCTCTGTTTAAAACAAAAGGGCAGTGTATCTCCTGGTCCCTCTGTACCTCCACAGCCTGGCTGCTCTCAAAGCGTGCAAAAAAGCTGTTCAGCTCATCTGGGAGAGATGCGCACGCAGACACTCCCGCAGCACCCCCCGCTGCTCCTTTGTAGTCAGTCATTGTCCTTAGTCCCGCCCACATATTATATAGATATGAAATGGACATGCTAACTAGCCACAATGCTTACATCGTTTATTTGTGTGCTTCAGAGAAAGAGCTGAAGAAGAAGTGGGATTCTCTGCGAACCCGGTACACCCGGTACCCCCGGTACACCCGGTACAGTTCTGGAGCACCAAAGACCGGCAGACGGCAGCGGATCCTGACCAGGCTGCAGTTTTTAGAGCCCTACACAAGAAGGAGGGAGAGTACTTCCAACCTCACCATGACCGTAATATAACAATAACAGAATAATATATATATATATATATTATTGTATTATAATTATTGATGGATTAATGCTCATCACCTTAATGTTGCAGCTGGTAAAGAAGGAGCTGATTTAAATGTATGATATACTGCTGGGTAGCTTATGAAATTCACCATGGGATCAATAAAGTTTTTATCTTAACCTATAATAATACATGATAAAATATTTCTTGATTATATTTTGTAGTATTCTGAATCTTCAAAGTTACTAAAGTTATCACTATTAACTTATATATTATAAAGTATAAAGTACACTATTTGCCTGAATGGGAGTGGAGCAGTACAGAACTTAAGTACATGTACGTTGTTACTGTCTACCGCTGTTCATTGTTCAAGATTGAAATGTAAATTTGCAAGACGGTTTTCTACACTATTCAAATGTAGCCTTTCATACGTGACGGTGGCTCCTTCTCCCATTATCCTCCACAATCTGTCTACAAGTATGTTTTTAGCATCTGAATAGAGCCATCACAGTTAGTCTACAATGTGCCTCTCACACTTGACCACAACCCGAACTAATGGCACACACATTCAGGGTATTGTTTTGTTATGAATGCTTAGTAAACAGTTTTAAGAATCCATGGTATGAAATCCAACTAACTGTGAATGTTCTTTAAAAATGTTAAGGAAGTATCACCCTCCGATGGCACCAGCCGTGAAACCTGGACCAGCAGCCCTGAGCTCTCTGATGCTGAGTCAAGGCCCTGCACTCCCTTGCTTGAGTCCACACTGGCACCGCTCGGAGAGGGGCCCAGCAGCACACCGAGGCCTCCGGTGAAGCGCACCAGGCGGATGCTGGATGAGTCCGCCAGTGGGGCGCCAGAACATGTTATCCTATGTTGGCACGCTCCTGGAAGAATTAACTGGCAAGGGTCAACTCAATGACGAAATCGCGGCCCATTCAAAAGTCTACGAACACAGACGGCGGCGGTTGCCATGTGATATGCTGCCAATCTTCCTGCATGAGGTGGAAAAGAGCTTTTTTAGTGTTTAATGGAACAGACCCATGAAGATGAAACCTTTAGACAGTTCACGCACTTGTAAATATGTGGCTAATTATTTGTACAAACAGTTCATTGATTTGTAATGTACATTTTTTTTTTTACAGACAGTTGTGGCAAACTTTTTTTTTTTATTGTATTGCACACTATTGACTATTTTTATCGTATTGTATTTTTGTATTGTCTGTACACTGTACAGTTCTTTGGATAATAATAAATAAACCACTTTTTACCGCTACTGCAAAATGCTAAACTTTATTTCGTACCTTCATACTACAGCCATTAGAGAATGAGGATACAATTAGCTATACTACAATACAAGTCAGAAGATACGTACATGATGATACATAATTTGCCTGTCAGTGTTATTTATATAAATCAATCAATGTTTATTTACAGTGTTACACTCAGTGGACTTCACAGTTTGTACAGAGTATCAGTATGACAATATGACACCCTCTGTCCTTAGACCCTCACATCGTACAAGGAAACACTTCCAGAGAAAACCCAGTTTAAAGGGGAACATGGGAGAAACCTCAGGGAGAGCATCAGAGGAGGGGTCCCTCTCCCAGGACGGACAGACGTGCAATAGATGCCGTGTGTAAATCGATATATATCTTTGATTATAATGACTGATGCATGGAATGTGGTAGCAGCAGTACTTTAAGGCTGCCAGCCACAATGCTTACAGTTTATTTCTGCTTCAGAGAGCTGATTTAAATTACATGATATACAGCTGGGTAGCTTGTGAAATTCACCATGGGATCAATAACATTTCATCATAACCTATAAAATACATGATAAACAATTTCTTGATTATATTTTGTAGTATTCTGAATCTTCAAAGTTACTAAAGTTATCACTATTAACTTATAAAGTACACTATTGGCCTGAATGGGAGTGGAGCAGTACATGTACTTTGTTACTGTGTACCGCTGTTCATTGACTTATTGTGAGCATCACATGGACATGTAAATTTGCAAGACTGTTTCTGCCCCCTCTATTCACATGTAACCTTTCATACGTGATGGTTTCATTCTCAAACTGTTGTGGAGCAGAAGTATACAGTTGCAGGATTAGTCTCAAGTACCTCAAGATTGTCCTTAAGTACAGTGCCTAAGTAAATGAGCTACAGTCTACCACTGTTCATTGTTCTCTTACCTATTGTGAGCATCACATGGAAATGGAAATGTTGCAAGAAGTGGCCATTATTCAGATGGGGGTTTCTGTCTGCCCCTCTATTCTTTCTCCCATTATCCTCCACAACCTGCCTAGAAGTATTTTAACGTTGTAGCTGTTCAAGATGGTCATTTTAAAATGTGTTAAAAATATACTGTTAGTAGTTAAACCAATAATAATGTGCGGCTGCAACTGGCAGTTATGTAGGCACATTTTCTTGTTGTATTAACGCTGTGTGATTAAAAGAATAAACACAAATAGCAGGATAGGCAATACAAAACTTTATTTCCCTTGATACTACAGCCATTGAGAACACAGCATTAGACATGACAAACTTTTTTTTTTTATTGTATTACACACTACATTGTACAGTTCTTTAGACATACTTGCTATACCTTATCCCACTGAAAAGGCTCTGCACCGACACCGTTAAAGTATTGGCATAGTTCATCCCTGTGCTGCTTGGCTCGAGCTGTAGCATTGGTGGTGGGTGGCAGGGTGGCCTGCTGTAGTTCAGGGTCTTGTCTCCAGCTTCCTGGGACAGTGCCATGATCGGGTCCTTCCTGGTCAACAACTCCCGCCATGTATACGCTACAGTTCTCTGTGAGCAGGAGGTTGTGCAGAGCACAGCAAGCCAAAACAATGGCCTCCACTTTGGCAGTGTCTTGAATGTTTATGGTGGTGAGAAAGACCCGAAAACGGTTGGCTAGGATGCCAAAGGCATTTTCTACCACCCTCCGAGCCCGCGACAGCCTGTAGTTAAAGATGCCTTGCTCTACAGCTAGGCTCTGGTCATAGGGCGTCATGAGGTACTCCTTCAGGGGAAATGCCTCATCTGCCACAATGGAGTAACAAACCGCCTGGTCAGAAGCAGGAGGGGGTGCAGGTGCAGGGATGTTGGATGTCCTATTCTCCAGGGCATCCTGCAGTGAGCATCCACCAAACACACCACCATCTGAAATCCTCCCGTTACAACCTACATCTACATTCAAGAACTTGTAGTTGCTGTCGACCAGTGCCATTAGCGCCATGGAAAATGGGGGGCGAGTGTTGAGGTGTTTCCCATCCAGGGCACCTAGGCAGTTTGGGAAGTCCCACTGAGCCTGGAATCCATCAGCTACTTTCTGCCACTCTTCCACTGTGTCGGGGCACTGAAAAACAAAAACATATATGTTTTAAGACCCATGTTTCATATGGCAGAGCTAACATTTGCTGTTCAAATGCCTACAGACCTCACTGTATTACATAGAGTTTGCACAGTAAAACCAGTCAGTATCCACACATACCTTCAGGTATTTCTCTTTTAAAACCTCGTAGATGGCTGTACAGGTCTCAGGAACGAACTGCCGTATCGTTGACACTCCCACTCGGAACTGGTAGGAAAGGCTCTTGAAGCTTTCCCCTGCAAATATGAACAAACACATAAAGAGTTATCTACACAAGCAGCTGAACAAAACACTCATTAGCTACACAACTACAGGTTATAGTTTACAACATAGTTAGATTACTTTAGTTACTATGAAGATTCAGATTCATGATACAAAATATAATAATGAAATATGTTATCATGCATTGTTATAGGTTAAGATAAAACTTTATTGATCCCTTGGTAAATTCTCAAGCTACCAAGCAGTACTTTGGTACTTTGGTAGTACTTAAACTAGTACATCTACATTACACTGCGGTATTACTACTTACTAAAGCACAATATACAATAATATACAAAGTGCTGCAATTTCAAATATAGCAACATCTTTAGCTTGCATACCTGTTGCCAACAATCGCAGCGTAACCATCAGACGTGTCCCCACGGAGATACAGTCCCGGTAGTTGGTGTTTTGCCTCCGGATGATTGGAGTGATGAGTTCCTCCAACATTTGAAACTGAACAGGAAAAAGCCGAGCAAAATCTTTGAAATCTGGGATTTCATTGAACTCCAGCTTTCGACACAGGTTCGGGAGAGCCCCCTGAGCTTCTCGCTGTAGTAACCATGAGTTCACCCATTTAGTGCGGTTTCTCCTAATTGTTCGCTTCCGCCTCTTGAGAGACTGTTTCTTCATCATGTATTGCACAAGCACCAGTCCAATTGCTGATAACGCCAGGACCTTACGACGATACATGTTTTCCATCGAGGAGAGAGAGTGAAAATGGAACGCACACGCTATTTGTTGTTTGTTTATATCACGCTGTCTGTTCTTCTTCTCTCGGTATATCACGCAGTCTGTCTTCCGGTTGTTGCCTCTTTTGAATGACGAATACACACTACCGCCGCCTGCTGGGAAGGAGAGTTATTGCCACTCGTCGACTGAAGTCTTTGAGGTGTGTTCGTAGGCTGAAAAAGCAGGAGAAGCCTGTCTTCCTTTGGTCTCCAGGAGAAAACGCCACTGTATATCACCAAGTTTTCATATAGTTTTGTGTGTGAAATAGATCGCTGCAGTGAACACGACTTTATGTATTTGTTTATGGTTTATTTGATATGGAGGGATGCAGTATAGAAGTTCAGAGAAGAAGCAACCCCTATATATTGTTTATTTTATTTCATTTCATTTTGGCACCATGGCAGAGGCAAATATGGAGTTAATGTGCGGAGATTATAAAGTCCCGTTTACTAAAATATGTATGTTTTATGATGTTTAGTTGACAAAATAGTCACTGTGCTACATTTTGCTGCACTCAAGCATAGTACATCTGAAGACAAGAGTTGTGTCCCCCTTTGGCCACAAGAGGGAGTATATATCTATTGTGTATATATATATATATATATTGTATAGATGTTGCAACTATACAGAGCTTTGGCAATACTATATGTAACTATGGTCATCATGCTAATTTAATTGAATTGAGTATACCTTTAAGTGAGCTGTCAGGAGGAAACAAAGGTTCGCCAACACATTACTCTACTGCTGAGAAAGGCTGTACAAAGACGTGAAACTCTGTGCTGCAATGTCTGTGTATTTTTGAAGAATGCCAAGTAAAGGAAGAAAGTAATAACTCGCACTGAGTCTTGATTCAATCCGTGTATCTACCGTCCATTTGTTTTTCTTTATTAAACAAGTAAGTCTGAGAGGCGTTTTTGCTTTTTGCTTTTTACCTTACTAAATGGTCTAATGGTCATTGGAGCGAGGGGCGGGGCGAAACTCACGGAAGTGATTTCAAAACAAAAGCACTCGTTTACCTGGAACGGTGATAATATTATAAACAAGGGGAAACAAGGTGAATGTAGCGATCACAACGAAAACGGCCAAGACACATATTGAGCCAAGAAAATGAATGTTTTGTATTTAATCCAAGCATTTGTCACTTTTTGTTCTCAATATTCTTTATCCACGATGCAGTTATGGATTGGAAGAACGATTGACTTCCTTTTAATCCTTATAAGGATGTCACAAGGAAACATTCTTGTCATGTTTATAAAGCCACCCACCTGCCTGTATGTCCGCGCTGGTTTAGCTCAGTGGTTACTTCGAACAACAAGCAATCTCGAATTCTTCCTGTTCTCTGTCTCCTCGCGGGATCGAACCACGGGCGCTGTCCAGTGTTTTCTGTCTTCCTGGTCACACATGCTCTCGTCATGTAAAGGATTCTCATGAATACCAACATTTTACTTTCAAAATATGTCTCAGTTTGGACATTAAAATAGTAAATACTTGAATCAGTGAAGCAAAGTTGCTTTGAAAGAATCTCTAATGTAGATTTAGATTTTGTTTCAGTACATTAAATTGTATTAAACTCAATAATTTAATACCGTGCCATGTCATTTTAAGGTAAATATACTTTCCCACGAACAAACATAAAAACATAAATGTTTGGAAAGAAAAGTCTTACATGTTTTGTTTAATATTTCCTTTTTTTATAGTCACATATTTATTTGTTTTTGCATTTATTCTAGGCTACATGCAGTTGTAATTTGTAGTCCTCCATATTTTTATCCACGATGCATTTCTGGACAGGAAAAAATATTAATTTCCCTCATTTATTAATAAAGGTTCATCTTCTTCCTCTTCCTTATATGGATGTCACAAGCAACGCGTCATTCTTATCGTGTTTATAAAGCCACCCGCAGAGTGAAAAGCTATGCTGGTTTAGCTCAGTGGTTACTTCGAATACAGACTGTTCTCTGTCTCCTCGCGGGATCGAACCACGGGCGCTGTCCAGTGTTTTCTGTCTTCCTGGTCTAACATGCTGTCGTCATGTAAAGGATTCTCATCAATACCAACATTTTACTTTCAAAATATGTCTCAATTTGGACATTATAGTAAAGACTTGAATCAGTGAAGCAAAGTTGCTTTGAAAGAATATCTAATGTAGATGTTGATTTTGTTTCAGTAAATTAAATTGTATTAAACTAAATAATTCCATACCGTGCCATGTCATTTTAAGGTAAATATACTTTCCCAGATTCCCACACCAAACATAAAAACATAAATGTTTGGAAAGAAAAGTCTTACATTTTTTGTTTAAAGGTGGGGTAGGTAAGTTTGAGAAACCGGCTCGAGATACACTTTTTGTTATATTCCATGGAATGCTCTTAACATCCCGATAGCAATGAATATCGTGGCAGATTTTTTCCGGCTGTGTATTTTCAAATTCTAGCACACTCGAGCTGGTTTCTCCAAAATTACCTAGCCCACCTTTAATATTTCCTTTTTTATAGTCACATGTTTATTTGGTATTGCATTTATTCTACATGCAATTGTAATTTGTAGTCCTCCATATTTTTATCCACGATGCATTTCTGGACAGGAAAAAAGATTAATTTCCCTCATTCATTAATAAAGGTTCATCTTCTTCTTCCTTATATGGATGTCACAAGCAACGCGTCATTCTTATCGTGTTTATAAAGCCACCCACAGAGTGAAGAGCTGCGCTGGTTTAGCTCAGTGGTTACTTCGAACGCTCACTGTTCTCTGTCTCCTCGCGGGATCGAACCACGGGCGCTGTCCAGTGTTTTCTGTCTTCCTGGTCTAACATGCTGTCGTCATGTAAAAGATTCTCATCGATTCCCACATTTTAGCATATACTTTCAAAAACGGTCTCAGTTTGGACATTAAAATAGTAAATACTTGAATCAGTGAAGCAAAGTTGCTCTGAAAGAATATCTAATGTTGATGTTGATTTTGTTTCAGTAAATTACATTGTATTAAACTAATTAATTCCATAACGTGCCATGTCATTTTACAGTAAATACATTTCCCACGGCCAAACATAGACATACATGTTGGCAAAGAAAAGTCTTACAAGTTTCGGGCGCAATCCAGTGTTTTCTGTCCCTCTGGTCACACATGCTGTCGTCATGTAAAGGATTCTCATGAATACCAACATTTTACTTTCAAAATATGTCTCAGTTTGGACATTAAAATAGTAAATACTTGAATCAGTGAAGCAAAGTTGCTTTGAAAGAATCTCTAATGTAGATTTAGATTTTGTTTCAGTACATTAAATTGTATTAAACTCAATAATTTAATACCGTGCCATGTCATTTTAAGGTAAATATACTTTCCCACGAACAAACATAAAAACATAAATGTTTGGAAAGAAAAGTCTTACATGTTTTGTTTAATATTTCCTTTTTTTATAGTCACATATTTATTTGTTTTTGCATTTATTCTAGGCTACATGCAGTTGTAATTTGTAGTCCTCCATATTTTTATCCACGATGCATTTCTGGACAGGAAAAAATATTAATTTCCCTCATTTATTAATAAAGGTTCATCTTCTTCCTCTTCCTTATATGGATGTCACAAGCAACGCGTCATTCTTATCGTGTTTATAAAGCCACCCGCAGAGTGAAAAGCTATGCTGGTTTAGCTCAGTGGTTACTTCGAATACAGACTGTTCTCTGTCTCCTCGCGGGATCGAACCACGGGCGCTGTCCAGTGTTTTCTGTCTTCCTGGTCTAACATGCTGTCGTCATGTAAAGGATTCTCATCAATACCAACATTTTACTTTCAAAATATGTCTCAATTTGGACATTATAGTAAAGACTTGAATCAGTGAAGCAAAGTTGCTTTGAAAGAATATCTAATGTAGATGTTGATTTTGTTTCAGTAAATTAAATTGTATTAAACTAAATAATTCCATACCGTGCCATGTCATTTTAAGGTAAATATACTTTCCCAGATTCCCACACCAAACATAAAAACATAAATGTTTGGAAAGAAAAGTCTTACATTTTTTGTTTAAAGGTGGGGTAGGTAAGTTTGAGAAACCGGCTCGAGATACACTTTTTGTTATATTCCATGGAATGCTCTTAACATCCCGATAGCAATGAATATCGTGGCAGATTTTTTCCGGCTGTGTATTTTCAAATTCTAGCACACTCGAGCTGGTTTCTCCAAAATTACCTAGCCCACCTTTAATATTTCCTTTTTTATAGTCACATGTTTATTTGGTATTGCATTTATTCTACATGCAATTGTAATTTGTAGTCCTCCATATTTTTATCCACGATGCATTTCTGGACAGGAAAAAAGATTAATTTCCCTCATTCATTAATAAAGGTTCATCTTCTTCTTCCTTATATGGATGTCACAAGCAACGCGTCATTCTTATCGTGTTTATAAAGCCACCCACAGAGTGAAGAGCTGCGCTGGTTTAGCTCAGTGGTTACTTCGAACGCTCACTGTTCTCTGTCTCCTCGCGGGATCGAACCACGGGCGCTGTCCAGTGTTTTCTGTCTTCCTGGTCTAACATGCTGTCGTCATGTAAAAGATTCTCATCGATTCCCACATTTTAGCATATACTTTCAAAAACGGTCTCAGTTTGGACATTAAAATAGTAAATACTTGAATCAGTGAAGCAAAGTTGCTCTGAAAGAATATCTAATGTTGATGTTGATTTTGTTTCAGTAAATTACATTGTATTAAACTAATTAATTCCATAACGTGCCATGTCATTTTACAGTAAATACATTTCCCACGGCCAAACATAGACATACATGTTGGCAAAGAAAAGTCTTACAAGTTTCGGGCGCAATCCAGTGTTTTCTGTCCCTCTGGTCACACATGCTGTCGTCATGTAAAGGATTCTCATCAATACCAACATTTTACTTTCAAAACTGTCTCAGTTTGGACATTCAAATAGTAAATACTTGAATCAGTGAAGCAAAGTTGCTTTGAAAGAATATCTAATGCAGTGGTTCTCAACCTGTGGCTCCCGCTAGTGGTACGCGGAGGAATCTGAAATATAACAATTAATTAAAAAAAGACCTGGAGAAGGACCCGGACTGACCCGGACCTCGCCACTTCCCGGGGCCGTGGACAAAGTGCTCGCTGCGCCCTCTCTCCCTCCTCGGGGGAGGGACGGGGCCCCCTGTTCCCGATGCGACTGTCAACCGGGGCGGACTGTCCTCAGTGCGCTCCTATCTGAGTGCATTGTGCAAGCGTACAGTTTGAGCAGAAGCAGAGCAGATCGCCACTATTATGGAAGCAGCTTGTCTCAAAGGGACATTGTTTTTTTTTAACTTTTTTGTACATTTTATAAATTAATTTTAATAAATGTAATCCTGAGTTTTGTTGATTGTTGAGCGTAATAGTGGAATATGATTTACATAAAAAGCCTTAGCCCTTTTCAATGTATTTTATTTTTGTTTATTTCATGTTTAAATGTTCTCTTCTCTTTTTGATTTGTTTATTTTGTGTTTTGTATGCACCTGTTCAGGCAGAACTGTTGAATTTCGCAAACTAAAGCAAAACATAGACTGATTGTCAAATGAAGCTGCTAGATGAATAATGGCGTAGCCTCAGACACTTCACAGCTGATCTTTTTTTAATGGACGCATGTGTTTACAAAGCTGCACGAAGTGACACATTTCTATAATAACCTTGTATATCGTCCGCATTTAGGGAAGTTCATCATTGCTTATGGTTTGCTCAAAGTGCAGCATTGTCGTTAAGATTTAGACAATATAAGATAAGATAAGAGGTACTTTATTGATCTCAAATTGGGAATTGTTTGCGTTGCAGCAGCATAAAAAACAAGGCATTGATCATAACTATTCTAAAATGTAAACATCTCAAAATAGAAATAAAACAGCATTAAAAAGTAGAAAATATTGACCGTGCAGATAAAACATTTATAAACTATCTGACAAATAATACACTAATGAAGGGACAATTCCCATCTACTTTAACACAATGTTAAAAAAGTGATAGTACTTTTACTTCTGACCCACAATCCTTTGCACAACAGATATAGGGGAAGAGCAAATGGTCTCAGATTGAGGTGTAAAGTTGTAATTGTCTGCATACAGCATGCAACAACAAATACTATGTAAACTGCAGTATTAGTACTTAAAGTGAAGTATGGAAGAAATGTACATGTAATGGAAGGTACATTTAGTTAAAGAGCGTCAATGTGAACGTTTTGCCACATAGACAAGACAGGAAGTAACAGACATTTTATTTTATTTATTTAGAACGTGTAAAACAATAATACTGTACAAAAAATAATAATACTATTGGAATGAATCAAAATAATTATGATACTGAACAAACTTAAGCATTATTACATTGATAAACAACAATATTATTGACTTACAAATTATATATAAACAAATAATCTACCTAATTACACATCCAAAAAGGGGTGGGAAGAAGTTTACACTTATTTAATCCACCCCATTTTTTTTCTTTTAACCAAATGTACATCATAACATGGGGGGTGCACACTTTTCAAAATAAAACAGGGAAAACAAAGAGAGATTTTGAGATCACAAAATAAAACCCAGACAGATCGTGACACATTTAAATCAAAATGGAGTCGTAACTGAGGAGCCATTACACATCCTTTCATATTTTTGATTGAGGAAACATATTCCACATTCACTATTCCTTGTTGTGTACGAGTTCTGCAGAAAATAAAACGTTAAATATCTAAAGCTGTCTGTTAGCATTAGCAACTAGCCTAATGCTGAGATATACAAGACATGTTATTCGTTTTTACTTATTGTGTTTTTACTATCTGTTGAACGATTAAGGGTTCCTTCAATTCTTCTTTATTATTAATAACGTGTGCCTAATTTCTATAATTGGTAAATCTACTCTTTTTACTTAATCTGCACTGAACTTCTGCCGTGTTGAATACCTGCAATTTCCCTGGTGCGGGACGATAAAGGGATTCATGTTCTGTATGTCCTCGTTGTTATTTTCTCTACTTGATTGTCTTTTGAGCACCAGGAAAAGCGTTATATAAATATATGCATTATCATTATTATTATTATTATTATTATTATTATTATTATTATTATTATTATTATTATTATTATTATTATTATTATTATTATTATTATGATACTACAAAGCGAGTTCAACAGAGCCAGGGTTTCTGTGAGTTAGCTCGACAAAAACTAAAAACCCTTCGACCCCAAAAATCAATCAATTTAATATCGATATTCTCACCTTTTAAGAATACACTTAAGCCAACCTGTTTGCCAACTGCACATTTCACAGCTCTTAATCTTTGGACGTGATGCAGCGTATTTAAACCATAGCTATTTAGAAATTGCATTTAGGTGTATTGTACTTTGACTCCACTACATGTATTTAATACCTTTAGTTACTTTACAGATGTGGATGAATGATGTGAAATATAATCAAGTGTTAAATCAGACTTTAGTTCCACCTGGAGTAAATTCACAAGCTACCCTGCAGTATACAAAGTCATTCAAACTAGCTGCACCTTTACCAGCTTTGAGAACACTTTAATGATCAATCATTATAAAACATATCATATATATTATTCTGAAATGGACCAATCTGCACAATGACTACTTTTACTGTCGCTACTTTCACTATATTTTGATGATAATACTTTTCTACTTTTACTTGAGGAACATTTTGAATGCAGGACTTTTACTGAAACAGAGTATTATATTAAGTTTAAGGTAAAAAACGAAAATAAAAACAATGCAGTCGCTTTTCTGTTTACTGGTTTAAGAAAGAAAGACAATTGAACCGAAGGTACACAGACTTAATATGTATTGTATTACTTCTTATTCTTTTATTTACATCTCCATTTCCAGGTGTTTTTTTCTTTTGTGTATACCTCTTTACATTCTGCCCCATTCCTTATTATTTTACAAATGTATTGTTATTTATAGCACTCCTATGACTCCAAATACATATAACTTAATTGGATAACTTATTTATTTAATTAAAATAACTTTATTTCACTGGAGAAGAAAAAACATCCAGGTTTTTAGCCATATTTTACAGCACAATGCAATTTAACAGAGATTAAAAAGATCGTCTCAATCAATTTTTTGCTTTTAAATACCTACCTGCATTAGCTGCTGTAGCTCAGTGGTTAAAGCAGGCAGTCCATTTAAAGATCACTGTGAGGCGTGGGTTTGATTCCCCATCCTTGTAGAACATATTCTGGGTTGTATATTTAAAAGAAATCTGTTTTGCATAAAACATAAATTAAAAAAATAAAAGTAACTTAAAGAATTTTCACAAAAATTAACCACATGCTATAAAAAAAGAAAGCCTTTATACCTTAACTGCTCCCTGCTCCCTGTATTCTGTATAGTGTGTCTAACATAAACCAGTGAAAACTGAATAGGGGGATAAACAAAGGTTATTTTTTTTAATTTAAAATGCAAGTCTATTCTTGTTCCTTTTGCCTTTTATCGGCACCTTGCTGCTCGGACCCTGTACGTTTCCCCGCTGCGTGACGAATAAAGGCTTTCTGATTCTGATTTCTTTGGTATGTGAGTGAGAGGGGTTTACCTGAAGAGACACGTATGTTTTTGCATTCACAACAACCCCAGCATATGGGCTATACAGCGGACCTCAACACAATGTTTTATCAGCTTTAAGCAAAGTGTACATCTGTTTTTATTCCACATATTTAAATATTATTAAAGCATACAGTATTTATTCTACTGTAAAGTGTATATTTACCTCCTGTTTTATCTTGTTTCATTTCTGTGTATTTCTTTTTATTCCTGCAACTTACTTGTACTATTATATATTATACTATTTTGTTACACTACTTTAATTCAGAATCAGAAGAATCAGAAGCAGAAACAGGTTTATTTCCAGGCTTAACACATACGTGGAATTTTAATTGGTGTTGTGGTGCATAGTGCATACATTAAAAAAGTGCCAACCAACTCCCAACTAGGGTTGCAAAGGGGCGGACAATGTCCGGTACATTTCCGGAAAGTTTCCATGGGAAGTTAAGCTGGGGAATTTTGGAAATATTCGATGCAAAATTAAACAAAAAACATGACATTTCAACAGATTTTCTTTTAATTAAAAAAAAATCCCCAAAAAGTCCCATTAACCATGCAAATCTTCCTTCAAGCAATCCTCTGCATTTTTGCTAAACCCTTTCAGTCAATGGGCTCTTCCTGGGCCTCATCAACATCCAACTCTGAGTCTTCCTCTTCAGTGTCACTGTCGGTGGGTCCGTTCTTCAGGTTTCCAGCCTTGGGTTCATTCTCAGAACCTGAAAATAAAAGGTAAATAGTGAAAAAAATGACTGGAAAATGTTGGAAAACAACCTGATCATGAAGGCGATGAAGATCAGAATCTATTTTCCTCTCTAGACTCATGTCAGACATTATAAGATACATAAAGATGAGGTACTACCGATCCCAGAGGATGTCATCAACAACATATTTACAATATGCCAATGGTGGAAATCTTCAGGAAAAACACAAACTCACCTCCAGAGACGATCAGATGGACAGAGGCAACCAACTACTCTTCCGTATCACAGAGTCAGAACCAGACACGTGTAGTTTCCTGTGTCGTTGGCGCTGACGTTCTTCAGGACAACAGAACCATCACCTTTCAGCTCCACAAGACCATGGAACAGTGGGAAGGTTCCAATCAGCCTGCTATCCTTGTATAACAAGACAGCGTAGTTCTCCAGACCAGATCTGTTCCACTTAGCCAATGGGAAGGCAGCATCTGTGGTACAGTTGACATCTTCTCCAGGCTTTGTCTTCACCTCTGTGACTGGAGAAAGAAAGGCAAAAGTCAGCAGTGCATTTCTCACACAGTATACAGAGGGGAATCACAGTATGACTACAGAGGTGGAAGAAGTACTCAGATCTTGTACTTGAGTAAAAGTAGAAGTACTCAGATCGTGTACTTGAGTACAAGTAGAAGTACTCAGATCTTGATTAAAAGTAGAAGTACTCAGATCTTGATTAAAAGTAGAAGTACTCAGATCTTGAGTACAAGTAGAAGTACTCAGATCTTGTACTTGAGTAAAAGTAGAAGTACCAGAGTGTAGGAATACTCTGTTACAGTAACAGTCCTGAATTCAAAATGTTCCTCAAGTCAAAGTAGAAAAGTATTATCATCAAAATATAGTTAAAGTAGCGACAGTAAAAGTAGTCGTTGTGCAGATTGGTCCATTTCAGAATAATATATATGATATGTTTTATAATGATTGATCATGAAAGTGTTCTCAAAGCTGGTAAAGGTGCAGCTAGTTTGAATGACTTTGTATACTGCAGGGTAGCTTGTGGATTTACTCCAGGTGGAACTAAAGTCTGATTTAACACTTGATTATATTTCACATCATTCATCCACATCTGTAAAGTAACTAAAGGTATTAAATACATGTAGTGGAGGAAAAGTACACCATTTACCTCTGAACTGTACAAAGTAGCATAAATGGAAATACTCAAGTAAAGTACAAGTATCTCAAAATTGTACTTAAGTTCAGTACTTGAGTAAATGTACTTAGTTACTTTACACCGATGGATACCGATGGATCACTGAATAACGTCTATGCAGGGAGAGTGAGTAAGCAGCACGGCACACATGGCATAGCACAGGTTAGCTCTTTAGCAGCAGGTTAGCTAACGGGTGCAGCACCGAGCACACATGGCATAGCACAGGTTAGCTCTTTAGCAGCAGGTTAGCTAACGGGTGCAGCACCGAGCACACATGGCATAGCACATGTTAGCTCTTTAGCAGCAGGTTAGCTAACGGGTGCAGCACCGAGCACACATGGCATAGCACAGGTTAGCTCTTTAGCAGCAGGTTAGCTAACGGGTGCAGCACCGAGCACACATGGCATAGCACAGGTTAGCTCTTTAGCAGCAGGTTAGCTAACGGGTGCAGCACCGAGCACACATGGCATAGCACAGGTTAGCTCTTTAGCAGCAGGTTAGCTAACGGGTGTAGCACCGAGCACACATCGTGACAAAAAAAACAAGCTGTATATATATATAAAGTGAAAATACACTGGTTCAAACAAACAGTATAGAAAAAACCAACTGTATTTAGCAACATAGAACAATGGCTCCTAAGAAAAACAAAGAAGGGCTAAGGTGCGTCAGCATATTGTTAGCGGTCCCTCTCAATCACTTGTTGCTGATAGCACTTTACGTCAATCTAATGTAAAGTAGCACAAAGACACGGTAAAATCTGAGGGCCGAAGCTTGACTGTCTTAAAACAGTTATTGTTGTTATAAAAACAGTAAAAAAGCACTGGAAGAGTCTCTGCGCGGGACCTTTCAGAAAACTCCATGTGGAGCAATTCTACGTGGTAACAAACTTAACTCTTATTATCACTAAATATTTTCCTAACATTACACTCACCTCCCGCAGGCAATGGCAAACGAAGGCAGATTAATACGAACAAAAGAGTGAATGATCTAACAGACATGGCTAACGGACGCTATGAAGCTAAGCTCGGATGAAAATGAAGCTACGTTTGGCGTAAAAAAAAAAGGTGGGGAGGAGGTGGAGGTGGAAGTGACGTGCGGAAGTGGAAGTGACGTGCGGAACTGACGCGCAAGAAAACTATTTTAACATTAAGATATTGAAAATTATTTACATGAAATATAGATATACCCAAAAACTACGTACAGTATGACAAAATACTGAGAATAATAATAATGTTCAGTATTGTTAAAGTGGGAAGAAACTTTTCATATATATATATATATATATATACTATATAAAGTACTATAACTCGAACAATGCGGCACTCAAACTCACATCACAGCAGTTCAGTACTAACTGGGAGTGTTTCAGAATCAGAGACGGGTTTATAGCCAGGTGGGTTCACACGTACGAGGAGTTTGAACCCAAATGCAACAAACAGGAAAGCAGGAACAGTTTGTAATGAAGTTCAATTTCAAAACCCAGCTGGTAATGAGCACAGATATATAAAAAGCAGACAAACCTTTAGGGATGAAGCAGAGGATGGAGAAACCAGGAAAAATATCTCAAAGTCTAAAAAAAAGATATCAAAGTCACTGACAGACTATCAAGACTGAGGCAAAGTACAAAGTGCTGAGGCTGTTTGGTGGACAAGGAACTGGGATGGCAAACAAACAAAACATGTAAAACATGTTGACACACCCTGTCATTCAATAATGCAACCGTATCTCTAGTGTCTTAATTTCTCTTATGCACCTTGCCTTTATTTTATGCTGCTGCAAAGCAAACATTTCCTAAATTGGGATCAATAAAGTACTTATCTATCTATCTGAGGGGGCACTCCAGCACACACACACACACACACACACACACACACACACACACACACACACACACACACATACACACACACACACACACACACACACACACACACACATACACACACACACACACACACACACACACACACACACACATACACACACACACACACCCACGCATGCACGGACACACACGCACGTACGCACACACACACACACACACACACACACACACACACACACACACACACACACACACACACACACACACACACACACACACACACACACACATCCTACATCAGACACATTTTGTCTTTCCACTTGCTGATATGGACAGTGATTGCACTACTTTAATATATTTGTAACGTTATTATATTCATTAATTGTTATATACTCCTCTGTTTGTACCTATCAATCTACCTGACTGCTATTTAAAGTTGACTTTGAGTGAAGTTCGGTACTTAAGTACAATTCTTAGGAACTTGTACTATTTCCATTTTATGCGTATAATTTTTTATTCCACTACAGTTCAGAGGTAAATGGTGTACTTTTACTCCACTACATGTATTAATACCTTTATTCATTAATATCTTTATTCATTCATCCACATCTTTACAGATGTGGATGAATGATGTGAAATATAATCAAGTCTTAAATCAGACTTTAGTTCCACCTGGAGTAAATTCACAAGCTACCCTGCAGTATACAAAGTCATTCAAACTAGCTGCACCTTTACCAGCTTTGAGAACACTTTCATGATCAATCATTATAAAACATATCTCATATATATTATTCTGAAATGGACCAATCTGCACAATGACTACTTTTACTGTCGCTACTTTCACTATATTTTGATGAGAATACTTTTCTACTTTGACTTGAACATTTTGAATGCAGGACTTTTACTGTAACAGAGTATTATATTAAGTTTAAGGTAAAAAACGAAAATAAAAACAATGCAGTCGCTTTTCTGTTTACTGGTTTAAGAAAGAAAGACAATTGAACCGAAGGTACACAGACTTAATATGTATTGTATTACTTATTCTTTTATTTACATCTCCATTTCCAGGTGTTTTTTTCTTTTGTGTACACTCTTTACATTCTGCCCCATTCCTTATTATTTTACAAATGTATTGTTATTTATAGCACTCCTATGACTCCAAATACATATAACTTAATTGGATAACTTATTTATTTAATTAAAATAACTTTATTTCACTGGAGAAGAAAAAACATCCAGGTTTTTAGCCATATTTTACAACACAATGCAATTTAACAGAGATTAAAAAGATCGTCTCGATCAATTTTTTGCATTTAAATAAAAACACTAAAATTCAACCATGGTCACGCAATCCTGAAGAAGTGGCTCTGTAGAGTTTAAGGACTTGTTAGTGGATCAGAAACTAGCTACTTGGACAGTGCTGCCGTAAAGTTGTTGTTGTTGTCGCAGTTCCAGCCGTTGGTGTGCCGTGGAACTGAGTTTTTCTTTCTTAGCCGAAGAAATACGATAATTTTGAAGTCAATCAAATCATTTCAAGTATAATTGGGAGTCAAGTCGTTAGTTTGTTTAGTATCTGGCCGTGTAATAAGCGGGATAATGTGCAGGGACTTGGCCATTATGGGGAAAAGAACACCCTTCAAGATGATCAAGATAATGACCCCATAATGACCGCCTCGCTGCACATTATCCCTAATTTATTACACAGTTTAGTTGAATACTCGATTCTGATTGGTCAATTCACAACATGTGACACGTTGTTAATCCAGTAGTACAGACCGCTGATTAATGATAACAATATAAATAATTCATAATTACTAAATAATATATTCTGGATGTTTTCTTTCCAATAGGCCAAACTCCAGAGTTAGCAAAGGCCTTCAGCCGGGCCAGCCATTCGGCATCTCCCATCGCTTTGTGGGTTTTGGGTTTAGTGCTCATCTAAGTAAAATAACAAGTGTTAGAGCAAACTACAGTGCAAAGCAAACAACATCCCTCCTGCATCACATAAACACACACTTATACATATATTCATATTATCATATAATACTGAGTTAAAGCAAATTATGATATAATTTAGGTGTCTATATTAAAACAATACATTGAAACCACGCAACGCATAAACATTACATGTCACTTGTTAGTTGCTTTTATCCAAAGCGACTTACATACTCAATACTGTGGACAATCCCTAGGAGCAATTTGGGGTGAAGTGTCTTGCCCAGGGACACAACGACATGCTGACTGCAGTGGGGTTTGAACCTGTGCTCCCCTGATCCGAACACCAACGCACGAGTCCACTGCGCAACACGCCTCCCCAAACTCATAAAACGCCCCCGTTACCAATAGGGATCTCAAATTACAGTGGGTAATATAAAAGTTGGTTATTGTAAAACCTTCAGAAGTATACACCGCACCGCCCCTATTGTCAACAACTATCGTAATCAATGTATCGCATTATATCGCATTATGTATGGGAGGGAACTCTGACAGAGGATTACTCACAAAGTACACAGTAAAAGTACTTCATTTTATTTCTGGTAGAAGTCAAACTAGTACCGAGTCCAACAGTGTCAGTTTTATGAAGAACTTGTGGTAACAAATATTTGTATCACTCGTCAAATATAGCAGGAATAATGAAGAGCAGCTGATTTGAAAAAACAAACGCGAGAGGCGGCTGAGGTGATCGCAGTGCAGAATCGCTGTATAGTTTACATTTCCTAACAATGGTGTCCATTTTAGACACAGGCTTATTATATTTACAGCCCGTAATAACAATCGTTTTCTGGACTCAATGTGTGTCTTGGCCGTTTTCGTTGTGATCGCTAAATTCACCTTGTTTCCCTTTGTTAATAATATTATCACCGTTCCAAGCTAACGAGTGCTTTTGTTTTGAAATCACTTCCGTGAGTTTCTCCCCTCGCTCCAATGACCATTTATGACCAAATAAACAAAACATGTAAGACTTTTAATCCGTGTATATTAAAAGTCTTGGAAGAGGGGGTTGATTCTCTCGTTTCCTCAGTCTGACCAGCAGCCCTGCCCGGCACCCGCGCTTTGTCTTCTTCTTGCGTCTCTCAGGTAGAACAGCAACAGGTAGCCATGGTGAATCTCCATTGTCTGTCGGAGGGTTGTTATTGTCCACGAAGTTTCGCAATTGAAGAAGTTCCTCTCTGCTATATTGTATGGCAGAGTAGGTGCGGTCGGCTAGCATGTTGTGAACCATGTTAAAAGTAAAACGGCAAAAGTAAAATAAATATGTACAAAATACGAAAATGGGCAAAGTTGGAGAGGAGCACAAAGACGATGCGGCCATCTTCACCGGCGCATCTGTGTGTGGTCTAATGACTAATAACAACTAGTGCTCAGATGTGAAGATTATTTCTTCTGACTGTTCTGCTCATCTAGAGCACCTCATGATCACATGCCGGGCCTTTCATCTGCCGAGGGAATTCACATCTGTTGTGATAACAGCAGTGTATATCCCCCCGCAGTCGCTCGCCGACAACAACACGGCACTCGATCAGCTGTTTGGGATTATTGATAAAACCGAGACTTCACGGCCAGATGCGGCGTTCGTTGTGGCCGGAGATTTCAACACCGCCAACATGAAGAAGGTTTTGCCAAAATATTACCAACACATCAGCGGCCCGACGCGCGGGGGAAACATACTGGACCATGTTTATTCCCCTTTCCGAAATGGATATAAGGCTCTCCCTCGCCCTCCCTTCGGCAAATCAGACCACATCTCACTGCTGCTGCTGCCTGCTTACAAGCAGAAACTTAAAAGGGACAGACCGGTAACAAGGACAGTACAGCGATGGAGCGAGGAGTTAGATGCAGCACTGCAGGATTGCTTTGCATCTACGGATTGGAGTGTGTTTGAGAACAATAACATCAACACACACACGGACACTGTCATCTGCTACATTGGGAAATGCATCGATGACGTGGTACCGAAGGTTTCTGTACGGACATTCCCAAATCAAAAGCCCTGGATAAACTGCGAGGTGCGCTGCAAGCTGAAAGCGCGCACTATCGCGCACAGAGCTGGAGATTTGGAGGAGTACAGGAAGTCTAGGTATGATCTCCGGAGAGCAATTAAAAATGCAAAGAGACAGTACAAAGAGAAGGTGGAATCTGACTTCAAAGGCTGTACCACCAGGAATATGTGGGCGGGACTAAGGACAATGACTGACTACAAAGGAGCAGCGGGGGGTGCTGCGGGAGTGTCTGCGTGCGCATCTCTCCCAGATGAGCTGAACAGTTTTTTTGCACGCTTTGAGAGCAGCCAGGCTGTGGAGGTACAGAGGGACCAGGAGCTACGCTGCCCTTTTGTTTTAAATAGGGCAGATGTGTGTAAATCCTTTAAAAGGGTTAACCCACACAAGGCCCCTGGACCTGATGGCATCCCTGGCCGTGTTCTCAGGGTGTGTGCAGTTCAGCTGGCAGAGGTGTTCACAGACATCTTCAACAGGTCCCTGCTGCAGTCTGTAGTCCCCACATGCTTCAAACATTCCACTATCGTTCCTGTCCCGAAAAAGACAATAATCACCTGCCCCAACGACTACCGCCCAGTAGCACTCACCTCCATCATAATGAAGTGCTTTGAGCGGTTAGTCAAATCATTCATCACCTCCTCCCTCCCTGACTCTCTGGACCCCCTGCAGTTTGCCTACAGAGCAAACAGGTCCACAGACGACGCCGTAGCCCTCACCATCCACACTGCCCTCTCACACCTGGACCCGAAGAACAGGAACACATATGTGAGAATGCTGTTCATTGACTACAGT